TCTTCCTCAGAGACAGAAGGCCCACTCGGCATGCTGCGAGGCAACGCCAACATGTGGCATAAAAGTGCACTCCCTGCCACAGAGAGCCACTCGGTGCAGCCGCGCAGCGGGCTCGTGGCATGACCCGATCCGTGTGGAGTGCACGAGGTGCTCGGCAACGGGTGCAGCCCTGATGCGAGCCGTGCTGGCATGCTCACGCTGTGCGCCAAAGGCTCGCCACCGCCAGGGTCACAAACCTGGTCCGCAACGCGATTGTGGCCCTGGTAGGGTGGCTTCCTCGATGGCTTGTGACCACGGCGAGCGAACATTTAGCGACCGGCTGCGCAGCCCGACGCCGACCTGGCTCACGGGACCCACAAAGCAGCTATCGCGCAGCGCCCGTCGCTACACGTAGACAGTGAACACTGGATACGTCCAACGGCGTCCAACTTGGTAAAATTCGGTCCAGCTGATTAACCCTGGTAAGTGGACAAAAGTATGCGTTTTTTGGCCTCCCCTCCCTAACATTAGCCGGCCAAAATGTGCTCCTACCGGCTAATATTAGGGAGGGGGGGGCGGTCGGGTGTCAGACCTAGCGCTAGGCGTGCGAGGCTGACGTATTTTGGACAATCCACCTACCAGGGTTAAGGGGCAAAGTCGGCTTTCCCAAAAAGGCCTGTTTTCTCGTTTTTCATGCACACCCGGACACAGCCGAGCCTCAGGCGTCCAAATCGGGGGCTGTGGGGTAGACACGGCACCGGAGGCTTGGCCCGGGGGCGAAGTGAGGGGCGGCGAGGGCTATCGCGAGCACCAAGGCGACTTGCGGGAATCACTGCTGCACACCACTGGCGCCCAGTCCGACGGCCTGACGGCGACTCATGGACTTTTCACGGGGGGGGAGGCTGCCCACGTGTTGCGTATGACCTATGCGCGTGTAGCGGTTGCCGTATCGCCAGTGTTGAAGTGATTGTGGAAGTTATCTTTCGCTGGGGGCAGCCCGGCAAGGCTACTGCGAGGCCGCAGCAGCAACACACAAATACGGCCGCCGGGGACCGATCGGCCTAGACGGCTAGCGCATGACCAGGGGAGCTGGCAGACGGTCCTCACGGACCAAGACACATAGCTGAGAGGGCACCTCCGACGCTCAGCCACCAGTAGCAGTATATCTCTCAGCTGAGCCTGGAGTTGAGGCTCGGGCCGTCACGGGAGGGGAGCACGGTTTCATCGGAACTGTCGCGCAGACACGAGCGGCAGCACGCGCCAGCGCGATGGCAGGGGTCGAGTTGCGATCGCCTATGCGTTGAACAGAGGAGTACTGGCTCCTCTCTGCCTAGAGACTGCAGTGGCAGTGTGGAGCCGCAGCCGATGCCGCCCGCTCAGACCAGCCGCAGTGACTGCGCCGCGAGCGACGTGAGCGTGTCCAGGCTGACAGACAGGCGCAGGCAGCGAGGGCCGAGCGCAGGCGCAGCGGCGCACGCAGCGAGGCGCCTGTCAAGCAAGATCCGCACGCCGGGAGCGTCGCTCGGCGTTCAATTGAGGCGCGCCAGATCCTCGCGAGATTCTCTGACGCAAGCTTTCCTACATATCTATTTTTGTACTCTTTGCTGTACTTTGGGGACGTTATATATTGTAAGTACCCGTCCTCAAAGTACAGAAGAGAGTACAGATTTCCCCTCTGCGAAGCCTGCCTTTACATAGTAAAAAAGAAAACCAGGGCGGCTTTTCCCCTGTTCACGCCCTCACACAGGCCAAAGTTGGACCGCGCGAGATCGCCCCCTCGCGCCGTCCGTCGGGCCCGAGCTGTATGTCCGTGCCAAAGGCCTCTCCCGCCCATCGATCGCCTCTGGGCTGACTCGTGCAAGCGGTTCTCCGCGTATCGATGGTGGCCAGTAGCCGGCACTGGTTTGCCGGATGCTGCAGCACACGATAGCTGTGACGCGACAGATACCCCTCTGTGCTGCTGAGCGGGTCCCCGACGCGTGTGCGTGGACGGAATTCGACCCGCGAGGAACCTCTCGAACCGTTGGTAGCGCTCCACCTCCGACCGGACACGTCAACTGGCCCTGCGTTGAGGCTGCTGCGCATGCATACCGCCAGGGTGCTCACCACGCAGATGCCAGAGACGCGCCTATCGCGGCTGCCTCGCTTGCACACGTGTCCACAGACCTCTCCGGTTGACCACTCGGAGATCGGCAGGGCGCGAATTCGCATTTCGGTTCTAGCTGATTAACCCTGGTAAGTGGACAAAATTATGCGTTTTTTGGCCTCCCCTCCCTAACATTAGCCGGCCAAAATGTGCTCCTACCGGCTAATATTAGGGAGGGGGGGGCGGTCGGGTGTCAGACCTAGCGCTAGGCGTGCGAGGCTGACGTATTTTGGACAATCCACCTACCAGGGTTAAAAACGGTCGTCCGGCGGGCGCTTCGCCATCTGGGATGGAGCCCGATGCGCGACGAGCCGTGGTGTGGTGCGCCTCGTGGTCCTCGCTCGGCGGGAGCCTGATGCTTCTGCTGGCGAGCTCGCTCTTCCAACGGTCCCACTCCTCTCACTCCCACTCTGCACTGCTCCTCCGCACGCTCGCTGGAATCGGCGCAGCTGATCTGCTCTTCTCCTTGTCCTTCATCCTCGCGCAGCTGGCACACGGGCAGGTGGGCAGCAGCCTCGGCAGGCTCGGCCCGGCGGTGTGCTCCGCCTCCGCCATCCTCAACGAGTATAGCTCGATGGTCGCCTCTCTCATGTCAGCGCTCTTTGCCTTTTATCTCCAGTCGGCATATGCGGAGGAGCGGGCCGTCACCTCGCCAGGCAGCTTCGCTCGCCATATCGCCGCCGCTTGGCTCGTTCCGCTCGCCCTCGAGGCGGCACTCGCCCTCCTCATCTTCCTCCCCGACGGCCTTCTCCATGCAGAGCATGACCTGCCGTGGTGTCACTGGAGGTGCACCCGAGACGCTCCGCTCGCGGGCCCGCGCGCGTGTTTGAGTGACCAATGTTCGATGAATACACAGGCGGCGCGCCAGGCCGTACGCCGTGCTGCAGTACGGCGTGGTCGCGGCGGCCGTCGGGGTGTGCTGCTCTGCATTTGCACGCACGCGCGCCCTCGCCCGCCGCTCGCTGCCGCCGAACATCGGGCGCCACCTCTCGCTGCAGCACCTCTCCTATCTGCTCGCTTTTCTCGTCTCGCAGCTGCCGGCGCTGGCCCACCGCTCCTGTCAGCTCGTGCCAGCATGTGAGGCGTCTCCACACCGTGGCTGGCTCGTCGATGCGCATGCCTTGACGCAGCCGTCACAGGGCCTTCTCAACGCGTGCGCTGTCCGCCTCATCCCTTACCCTTTCCATGCACCCTTACCCTTTCTCTTGCACTGGCTCCGGCGCCCCTGCACTCCCTCCGTACCATCCCTCGCGGCCTTTTGGTCCAGGTGCGTCTATCTCTCCCACGTTTGGTGGCGCTACGTCATCACCTGCCAGCACGCCTGCCACTCCAGCTGCACGCGGTGCGGCTCGTGCTGCTGGCGCTGGTGGTACGCCGGCGGCGGCTATGCCTCACCGGGCTTGGGGCGGGGCATCAAGCCGGACCCATTGGCCGACATCACGTCACGCAGCGAAAGTTCGTGCTCTTTCTTCAGCCCACTGTCGTCAAACGAGGTGGGGCTGACTCCACCGACTCCGTCGGTTCCCACCTCGGCATCGGACATCCTGGTCGGCGGCCACAGCGCTGACCCGGGCGCCTTCACATTCCACTTCGGCGTCTCCTCCAACATCCCCTCCAGCATGAAGCCAGATATAGTACGGCCGTCGCCCATCTACCCGCTTCGACCGCCGCCAGCCTTCCCGCTCTCCTCGATCGATCTCTGCGATTGCTGCGCAGCAGCGGTCTTATTCGTGCCAGCGGCACGTCTCGAGGAGCAAGAAGGAGTTACGAGGTACGAAACCTTTGGAGCGAGGTGAAAATAGAAGCGAGGTGAATAGAAGCTCCACTCGTCGTGCGATCCCGACATTGGTGCATTGCATTCTGTCGCGGGCAGTGTGACTGTGTGTTTTGGGCTTTTGAAAACCAGCACACCGCGAAGCGCGATATATAAGAGAGGAAGGAGACGCGACCATGGACGCGACTGTGGACTGACGCTAACGACGAGAAGAGAAACGACAGAAAAAAGGATACTCGCGGCATCCTCGCTGTGTAGAGAGTACGGCTCTCTCGTAGACCTGTGATGATGGTGAGTGAAGACGCATTATGCAGTTGGAGTTATACCAATCGTCGGCGGAAGCCGGAACTGGTTTCACATAAGATAAAGTCCGGTCCGCGCGCCCAGTGCTGGCGATTTACTGGTATAGCCCCCCAGAACAATCAAACACTCTACGGCCAAAACAATCAATACCCGGGTTTTCCCAGGTATACCCGCAAAATACCCGGTATTTTGCCAATTTGGCTGAATTTGGCCGCAATGGCCAATGCGCATAAAGCCGTACGTAAGGCTAGTGCCATTTCGCTGGTCGAGCGACCCGGGGGATGCCCCGCGCGCCTGACCCAGGCGCGAAAACGAATCTGCGAGGCGTGGCCGCTCACGCGGCCCGATGGGGAGGAACGGGGCGAGCCCCCTCCAACCCACCCGCGCTAGGTCTCGGGCGGCGAAGGGGTCACTCCCGACGACCTCGGGAACTAGCCGGGGCAGTCGGAGAAGTGGCAACTCCGTGCACTGACGGTCGGCCGTCAGAAAACACGCCTCCGTGGCTCGGGTTACACCAATCCTCGCTACCCAACGCGGCCAAAGGATATCCACCTCGAGAAAGTACCAGAGCCTCAGACTCGGCTCAGATCCCGAAAATTTGATGATTCCACGGAGTTTCGTAATTTACCATACCACTCTCTGCTCATACCATACCACTCCCTAGGAGAATCAAATAAGTGGTAAATACCACTCATTTACCAGTAAATCGCCAGCACTGCGCGCGCGCGCGCGCGCGCGCGCCACCACGCCCCCCCCCCCCCCCCGCCGCTCCTTCTCTAGGCTCAGCTCGACTATCCATCACCACTCGTCCTCCTCAACCTCCAGCTCCGCCTCCGGGTCCGCCCCAGCGCCTGCCCCGTGGCCGTGCCGCGACTCCTCGCCGCGGTGCGGCGGCCGCGCCAAACGGCGGCGGCCGCTCCTCTCGTGCACGCCCGCCTCGCCAGCCTCGCTCTCCTCGTCGTCCTCGTCGCCGCCATCGGCGAGAACGGCGGTGTCGCGCCCCATGAGAAGCAGCCGCCCAATGCTCGTCACCACCGCCGTCCGGTACCCGCCCGCGGACAGCGACGTCGGATGCTCGCCTGGGCGCAGCTGCAGCGGCACCTCGCCCGCCGTCGGAGCGACGAGCGCGCCAGTCCGTCCGAGCTGCAGATTGGCGTTTGAGCCCCAAGTGAGGAGCGCCCGTCGCCCCTCGCTGCCCGGCGCGGTCAGCGCGGCGGAGTGCAGCTCGCCAGCAGCGATCTGCTCGACTCCCGACGCGACGTCGCACGCGTCTGCCCGCGTCGGCGCCGCGCGTCCGACCTGGCCGTAGAGGTTGTCGCCAAACGCGCAGACCCGGCCATCCGAGAGGAGGAGCAGGGAGTGGTAAGCGCCCGCGGCCGCGCCCACCGCCCGCAACGGTGCGCACCTCCCCTCCCTCAGGTCCCACGCCGCGCCGGCCGCGCAGCAGCTTGGCCCATCGCACGCAGCGGCGCCCTCCTCCGCGCCGCCTTCCCTGCTCCCCGTGTCGCCGCCGCCGCCGCCGCCGCCGCCGCCCTCCCCACCGCCGCCGCCCTCCCCGCCGCCGCCGCCCTCCTCCCCGCCGCCGCCCTCCCCACCGCCGCCGCCGCCCGCCGCCCCACCGCCGCCGCCGCCGCCAGCCGCCCCGCGCCTCTCGACCGGAGAGGGCGCCGGAGTCATCCCCGGCACGGCTGCCCACCGAGGCATCGGATCGACCGGCGACGGCGACGCGCGCAGAAGCTGCCCGTGGTGGTTGGCGCCCCACGAGTAGACGTCTCCCTCCTCCGTCAGCGCGAGCGTGTGGTAGCCGCCCGCTGCGACGGCCACCACGCGCGGCGGCGCAGCCGTCGCCGCCGGCGCGCTCTCCGGCCTGTGCCGCGGGGGTAGCCTCACCGCACCGGGAGGGAAGAGCCGGACCGCAGCCTCGCTAGGGGGAGGGACCGGCGCCCAGCCCAGCTGCCCGTGCGAGTTGGAGCCCCACGTCCACACGCGGCCCTTTGCGGACAGTGCGACCGAATGCACGTGCCCGCCCGCGAGGTGGACGACAGAGTCCTCGGCCTCGATCCCCGGCAGCAGCAGGCGCGCCGCCGAGCCGTCCCTCTCTAGCCCCGGCGCCGCCGGCGGTGCCGCGCCCGTGCCCTCGTCCCCTGGCTCCCCCACGGAGTCCGCCTCGTCGTCCTCCTCGCCGCCGCCGCACGAGAGAACGGCCGGCCCTCCCCCGGCGTGCACAAGCGTGTGGAACCCGCCGCACCCAAACACCGGTAGCTCGCCGTCGGGCAGCAAGCCCGCCACGCTCGAAGCGAGGCCGGGCTCGGCGTCGTAGTCGAGCCCGCCGTCGAGCGAGCGGCAGAGCTGGCGCGCCGCGTTCTCGCCCCACGTGTAGAGCCCGGACGCCGGCGCCGCGCCTGCGCGCTCGGCTGCGCTCCTCGAGGCGCTCCTCCCCTCCGCCCACGCGAGGAGGTGGAAGCCACACACGCGCACCGCTCGCACGGACGCGTCGCCGCCGAGGAAGGCGGACGGCTCGTACCCGCCGTCGACGTCGGCCTCGTCCTCGCCCTCGTCGCCGCCCCCCCCCTGCCCCGCCCCGCCCTCCCCCCTCCTCCAATGCGAGCTTCCCTCGCCGACCGACGCCTCCGCCGCCCCGGCCCCCTCGGGCGCGCCCGCGCCGGCGGCCTCGTCGCCGAGCGCCGTCTCGTGGAGCAGTGAGGCGGACGGGTGCTCGCCCCACACGACGAGGTGCCCGCTGCGCGAGACGGCGGCCGAGAAATAGGCGCCGGCGGCGAGGAGGGACGGCGGGTCCGCCTTGGGCAGAGGCAGCTCCGCCCGCTGCGGCATCCCGTCCCAGCGCACGCCGCGCGTGCGCGCGAGCTGGTAGCGGCCGTTGTATCCAAAGGACCAGACGTGAGACGCGTTGCAGAGGGCGAGCGTGTGGTACTCGCCGAGCGCGAGCGCGGCCGCGCCGAACTCGACGCCTCCGAACGGCTCGGAGCTGTGCGCCTCGCCGACTTGCGACGCGTTGCTCGCCTCTGCGCCGAGCTGGCCGAAAGAGTTGTCGCCCCACAGCAGCAGCCGCCCGCCGCTGGTGCGAGCCGCGGAGTGGTACGACGAGGCGGCGACCTCCACCACCTCCTCGCCCGCGCGCAGCGGCAGCGGCACCGCCGCCGCCTCGGCAGCCACGTCAAACTCCGCCTCGAACTCGGCCTCGCTCGGCGGCGCGCCGGCCGCGCCGCTCAGCACCGAGGCGGTGAAGCCGCGCCGGCCCTCGCCCAGCTGGCCGTGGGTGTTGTCCCCCCAGCCGAGGAGGCGGCCGCCACTCGTGCGGGCGAGCGAGTGCGAGGCGGCCGCGGCGAGGCCGACCACCGCCTCGCCCTTCTCGAGCGGGAGAGGCACCTTGAGGGGCGTCTCGACGGCGTGCTCGGTCCGCGCGCCCAGCTGCCCGAACCCGTTGTCGCCGAACGCGTAGACGGCACCCGACGCGCCGAGGACGAGGGTGTGCAGCTCCCCGCACGCGACGGCGGTGGCGTGCTCGGGCAGCGGGACTCGCGCCGGCAGCGCGAGAGGCGCGTCCAGCATCTCCAGCTCGGCGGGCGCCACGCTCATCGGCGTCTCCTCAGGAAGCACGCCGCACTGCCCGTGCCCGTTGTCGCCCCACGCAAACACCTCGCCGGAGGCCAGCACGGCGGCAGAGTGCATTCGGCCTGCGCAGGCGTCGACTGCCGCCGCCGCCGCAAGCCCACCGCTCCGTCCCGGCCACCGCAGCGCGTACGGCTGCCACGCCGTGTACGGGAGGCGCGAGGCGGAGAGCGGCCGACCCAGCTGCCCCATGGCGTTGTCCGCGAAGGCGTACACCGCGCCGGAGGCCGTCCGCACGAGGAGATGAAGTTCGCCCGCAGAGAGGCTCACGATCCGCTCTCCGGCCGGTAGCCCGAGCGGCTGGGTGCTCCCGCTCCCCGCGCCGTCAAACAGCAGCAGCAGCGGCGCCGGAGCTGCAGCAGCCCGCTCGGCGGCAGCGGCCAAAGAATACGGCGCTGCAGCGGCGCTATCCAGCAGCGGGTAGGGCGCGCTGTCTGGAGGTGAGCATGACCCGCAGGATAGCGAGCAGGTACGCGCCATGAAGCCCGCGTTGTCCTCGCAATGGCCGACAGTCGCCCAGAAATAACAGTCGCCCTTCAGGTCGGCGCATGCGAGCGCCGCTTCCGGGACGGCATCGGTTGCTTCCGCAAGCAGCAGGAGCAGTATCATCCGGCTTCTCCCCAAATACTACCCGGGTATCTCACATTTACTTGATAAACCAGCCGATCCAACAATCCTTTCACACCGGACGGTAGAGCCAAATCTGACGGCCAGAAAGCTCACCAGCCTCGCAACACATGTCATACCCATCCCTGACAAGCGTGGTTTGACTCACAGAAGCCGCAGGCCACGTGGAGACATAGCTACGTGACCACGCAAAACACGCCCGGAGACGGCTCACATCCCGATATCCCGGGCTCCAACAATGGTCCCACTATCGGGCCTATCGCGGTCCGACATCGATCTACTTGGCTGTCCCCAGCCCACAGGTACCGGGTGCACCCAGCCTGGCCGCAAGAGGGCGGGCCCGGGCCGAGCCTCCCACTCAGAGGTCCATTGAAGTCGTCCGCGGCGCCGTCCCGAAGCAGCAGCCGCGGGAGCGGGAGCGGGGAAGCTCGTACTCGGCCCGACGCGATAATGTTGACAACAATGCAATGCCAACTGTGCGTACAATGACTTGTACACACATCACCTGGGTCGTGATGGTCCATATGAAGGATGGACAGAGTCACGCACATCGCCTACACGGTCTGAGGGTGGTGAGGACTGATACATGCCCGGGTCGGGTTGAGTGCGCTCGGAGAAGAACAAAGTGTGAACTATGCGCCAAATGCGCTGGTCAAGGGGACAGGAGGATGTTGTGTGTGACAGGGCTGCCTGGAGCAGCCCCAAGCTGGAGGCCTTCGTCCACAGGGACCCGTCAAGGAGCGTCTTCTAGCATTGTCTGCACCACTGTCACGGATCACGCAAGGCCGCTACGGAGACGAGCAGCTCCGAATCCGCGGCAATCTTCATGCATCCAGGCGTCACAGTCAATATCAGTGGTCTAGCCACCGCCATGCACAGCTTGACGTCGATGTCTCCAGGCTGGAGTGCCTGTATCCTTTGTTACGCCGCTCGGAGGTCTGATGGAGCCGCAGAACGCCTGGGGCTGTGAGGGCGTCAGGCGGTGCCGCAGATAGACTTCTACCTCATAGCGCGCACCGAGTTATCCGTGCCGGGCCCTGGCCGCCGCCAGCGGACGGTGCTCTACCAGCAAGGTACCTACAGGGCACATTGTTGGACTTTGGCGGCCGATTTGCGCTCGAGCCGCCGCGCGGGAATCAGCACCGGCAGGCAGCAAGAGCACGACTGGCGACCGAGAAGCCAGCAGTGCTGCGCCGACACATGCCGGTCTGGACAGTGCGCGAAGCAGCCGCATGCGGCCTTACAGAGGCCGAGCGCGCGGTGATTGTTGGACGGTCACGTCGTTTCGGTTTATCGGGACGCGCCGGGATATCAAGTAAATGCGAGATACGCAAGAGCCAAGAGGAAGGGTTTGCACTTTTTGGCGGGTGGGGTCTGGCGCTCGCGCCCACGAACATGGCAGTCACCTCGTCGCCTTGTCTGTCGTGTGAAAAAAAAGAGTGAAAAAAGCGGCCCGAGACAAACCCCAACCCGCCCAACAACCCAACCCAACCCAAAAAGCACGGTTCTGAAGTTGGGCCCTCGGCCTAAACAAGCGGCCAAAACACAAGAGAAGAAGACTCTCTCTCTCTCAAAACACTTGCAACCCGTTCGAAACGCGAGAGTGGCACCGGCGTGTAGCCTCGAAGGGGCAGCCGGGGTCTCGCGTTTAGGGTCGTACAAGGATGTAAGACAAGAAGCAGGGCGCGAGCCGCGCACAAAAGGCGCAGATTTCACTGTATACTGAGTGAGCAGGATTTATTCGTCGAACCAAAAGTTGCCACGGCCGTTTCCATCGGTTGGACGTTGCTTGCAACTCATGTATATGCCACCACCTCCGGCGGAGGGCGACGCCTTCGACCTGCAGTGCCCGTCGCCCGCCCGTCTCTCCCACCGCCGCCGCCCTTCCCGAATGCTCGCCGCCGCGCCCTCCAGGTGGGAGGAAGTGGTCGAGCTGCTGAGCCAGCTCGAGCTCAAGTTTGACGCGCTCGTCATCGGATGTGCCGCCCTCTTCTACGCCTACCTCGCTGGACACCTGGAAGGTAGTTTCGGCCGGTTAGAGGCGATTTACGACAAGCTGAGGGGAAGGTTGAAGGAGAGGCTTGCGCCCTCTACTCGTATGCTCTGAGTCAGCTCTCTAGACTACCAGCTCCAGTCAGGGCTGCGCAGTCCGGCAGTAGCTTTGCTGACTGCAGCCACTGAGGGAGGAGAAGGGAGTGGGCGTCCCTCGCTTCTACTGCACATGTACGCGTGTCACGCTCTGAACACGTGAATGACCGCGGTAGTCCCACCTGATTCGTTGCTCTACACCCGCACGGTGTGGCATCGCCACCGTTTTGCGGCACCGCGAGTCGCACGAAATTCTCTTCGATTGCCATACTTGCTGCACCAGGACGCATGCGGCCACCCAACTCTACCACGAGTCTGCGGTACACAGCAGCTCTCGGCGACGTCGAGATCGCTGTGACGGGGTGCCACGTCCACGTCGTGCCCTCGTGCCGCACACAATGCGGCACGATGTCGCCCGCATCGCCCCATCACCCATCAGCAACCCGCCGCTCCCCGGCGCGCCCCTCCTCTCCTCCACTGCCTCTCTGTCCCAGCGGCCGGCGGCGCTGTGGCGGCGGTGTCGACTGCTGCGGCAGTGGTTTCGCCAATGGCCGGCGGCCGGGCGGCGGGGCGTCGCTCCACCGCCTCATGCGCCGCCGCTTCGCCGCGCCGCACCTTCCATCTCCCCGCCTCCGCCCACCTCTCCCCGCCTCCCCTCCGCCTCCGTGGGGGGTTCCCCACCCGCGCCCCCCCGCACCACCGCCGCCTCCCTCTCCGCTCGACCTGCTCCTCACAACCGGTTTCACATGGTCCACACGCACACACACGCTGCACACGATTGGCTCGGGAGCCGACACGAGGCGCACTGTCACCGGCCGTAGCACCGGGTCCGGACTGTGTTGGACACACAGCACATAACTCACAGGACAGCTCACGAGGTGGCGCTATGTAGAGGAGTCCTCGGGGACTGACGCGGGAGATTTTGTTTTTGAGGCATCACGTCTCCATGCCGCCGTCAAGTCGGAGCCAGTCTGCGGCGACCACAGCGCTCACCGCAGGGATATGCGAGCTTTTCAAAGTCATGCTTTTGCGCGAAATCCCACAATGGTGGATTTTGGGGCGCTGTGGGCCCCCTCTACCGCATGCCCGTTACGGCTTTATAAGAGATCTGTATCGCACCATTCTCTGCGAGCGCGTGCTTGCCTCCTGCCCCTCCTCCCGCTCCGCCATCGGCTCCCGAGCCCTGTGACCGGTGCTCCCCCGCATGCCCCCCCCCCCCCCCCCCACCCCCGGGTGGCGCGTGGCCACCCCCATCCCGGCCGAATCTCTCGGCAGCTTTGGTGGTGGGCGCCTTGACCCGCCCCGCCCCCTCACCGACCCTCAGCGGCGGTCGCCGCCATACCCGCCGTATCGCTCGCCGCCGCCGCCGCCGCCGCCGTACCGGTCGCCGCCGCGGTCGTAGTCCTCGTAGCGAGGCGGAGGGCCACGGTCTTCGTACCGTGGAGGCGGCCCGCGGTCGTCGTAGCGCGGCGGAGGGCCGCCCCCGTAGCCGCCGCCTACTCGAGTATTGCGGCCGGGGCGAGGTCAGGGGCGGGGCCGGGGGGCAAAAGTTCGAATGTTGCGGGCTGGCCTCCTCGGTCGCCGTAGCCGCCTCCGCCGCCGTAGCCGCCGCCTGTCGCAGTCGGGGGCGGGGTCGGCACAGGGGTCGGGTTGCTGGGCGTCCGTGGCGCTGCTCGGGTCCTCGGTCGGCGTAGCCGCCGCCGCGGTCGCCGTAGCGGTCGCCTCCGCCGCCATAGCCTCCCCCGCCGCCATAGCCTCCCCCGCCGCCATAGCCTCCGCCGCCATACCCGCCGCCCCCCCCTCCGTACCCGCCCCCTCCGCCATACCCGCCTCCCGGCCCCCCGCCGGCGTATCCGCCGCCGGCGTATCCGCCGCCGCCGCTGTAGCCGCCGCCGTAGCCGCCCGCGGCCGGCGCCGGCGCCTCGCAGCCGCCGTACACGTCGACGGCGCGGTCCTTGCCCTTGCGCTCGTCGAACGCCTACGGGCGAGGTGTGGAGGGCTAAAGTGTGGAGAGTGGTGGGCGAAATGTGGAGCGGCGGACAAAGTGTGGAGCGGCGGGCGAGGTGTGGAGGGCTAAAGTGTGGAGAGTGGTGGGCGAAATGTGGAGCGGCGGACAAAGTGTGGAGCGGCGGGCGAGGTGTGGAGCGGCGGGCGAGGTGTGGAGCGGGGCAGTGTGGAGTGGTGGGGGAGGTGTGGAGCGGCAGCGAAGTGTGTGGCGGCGGTGTGGGCGGCGACGGCGCAGAAGCGGAGAGGGTCTCGGGGGTCGTCTCTGCGCCTTTGTGTACTCGACGCGATCGCCCTCGCGCAGCACCTAAACCCAGGCGCGAATTGTGAAAAGAAGGCCGGGCGGCGGGCCGCTGCGGCGGCTCATCGCAGCTGTGGATGGCGCTGGCGGCGGGCGGCGTGCGCGTGGACTCATCTCAGCTCGACATCTCGGCGAATCTCGGCGTATCTCGGTCAATCTCGGCGTATCACACCTGCCCGTCCTTGACCTCGCTCATGTGGACGAAGAGGTCCTCACCGCCGTCGTCCTGTACGCAGGCTCGTGGGCGCGTGAGGGGACGCTCTGTCTGCACGACCCACCAGGTCCGCGCCTGCTTGATGAAGCCATACCCCTTGTCGAGGTTCCACCGCATCGCCGTCCCCACACTCTTGCCGGGGCGCGGCTGGCCCGTGAAGCCGCCGCCGCCGCCGCGCTTATCGCGCGGATCCTCGCCCTCGACGCCGCCGTACACGTTGAGCGCGCGGTCCTTGCCCTTGCTCGCGTCGTACTGCTTCTCGAACCGAACGCTGTCGCCCTCGCGCAGCATGTTGCCGTCGCGGATCGCAGAGAGGTGGCAAAAGATGTCGTCCGAGCCGTCGTCCGGCTTGATGAAGCCGAAGCCCTTCTCGTTCCAGCGCAGGGCGACGCCAGTCAGCTGACCGCCGCCCTCGCCGCCGCCTTCGCCGCCGCCTTCTGCGCTGACGTGCCCTTCGGCGTCGGTGCCGCCGTTGCCTCCGTCCGTCTCCGCCGGCTCGTCCGCTGGCGGACCGCGCGGCGGGCTTCGCGAGCGCGAGCGCTCCTCGGCGGCGGCATCGCCAGCTTCGCGGTCGAGGCGTCCTCGGTCGTCGTCGCCATTTCCGTCCATGGCTGGTCTCGGGACCTACAGTCGCGTTCAGCGGATGCAGCTGGTGAACTCTTGCGGAGGGCGCGCGCGGGCGGCGCCGAGCCGCAGCGAGCTTCTTGGTGAGTTGTACCTAGGCACCTAGCGTAGGTCAAAGTGTGAATGGCCGGGGCCCTGTGTTGTGCTTTTACGTGAATGTCCAACCCTGCGCGCGGGCCTTCTAGGCCTGCGGGCAGTCTCCCCCCATCCCCAGGGCCTCCAGAGCTCGCACCTCAACCTCTCATAGACCAGCGCGCGGCGAAATTATTTTTTCTTCCCAATAATAAGGTCTGTGAATGAACAAACAGGTTCGCCTTCCTTCCTTCCTTCCTGCCTGGCTGGGATCGCGTGCGAGCCCTTCACGGCACAAGCTTTGCCTGGCGGCTTCAGCATGTTCCTTTTCCCAACCGCATACGGACGAGCGAGACCCCCCCCCTGTGAAAAGTGAGGCGTGCGGTCGGTACTCGACTCACAGGATCAAAGCTATTTGTGCGAGCTCCCGTTCACACTCTTGTCTAGCCCTTTCTCGGGGCCGCGCCTGCGGCGTGCCGTGGTTTCTTAACGGAGTCGCTTAGCAATACCAAACAACTCACACAAACAATCTCTCTCTCTCTCAACAACTCTAACACTCAAACACATCATTTGGGGCCTGGAGCCCTGTTCACGCGCGCGCGAGACGTGCGGACAGGGTTGCCAGGTGAGAGCGAATGGCGCGGTTCACGCCTCGCACAACAGAGAGAGAGATGCGCTCTGCATGGTTTGTGCGGCTCCGGTGGAGCGGAGGTGTGCCTGTGTTACTACCAGCACGTGCCAGTCCGCGCCTGTGTCGAGCCTGTCTGCTGTGAGAGAGTTGTTTTTGATAAATTCTTACTTAGTCTTAGCCAACTCCCTGGCCTCTTCGCAAGGCCTCCCGACCGTGTCGAACTCATCGACGCGGGCTCTCTCGCTCGGCTACGGGACCGGCCCCAGCTTCGGCTGAGGGCTGACAAGCTGCCGAGCCCAAATCACTGTGAGAGTCGTGATTTCTTGTTGGTTAATAAAAATCTCTCTCACACATAAGAAGCAACAAAAACAAAGGTATTGCTAAAAATCTCTCTCTCTCTCATAAGAAGACAAGAAAATCTCTCTCTCACACACACGCGCGCGCGTTTCATGCAAGGCACATGTGCATGTGCATGTGCATGTGCATGTTGTTGTTGTTGTCCATGTGCATGAACATCCAGGTCAAGCAGCGTCGGTTCGCTACCAACACCGAATGGGTACCTCCCCAAAAATAAACTATGGCACATCCAGGTGGAAGGATCTCGAGTCACGGTTGCCGAGGTCAATGCTCTTCAGAGCGATGCGAAGCATCGTTGTGCTCTCCATCCTCCACGTGTCGCGCGCACTGCTGTTGCCGCAGCGCTCACTCGCGCCACGCGCCAGCATCCGCCTCGCCCTCGACAGCCTTCTGGCCAACCCTCGTATCACTGCGAATGACACGTATGCCGAGGAGTCTAGACAGTACCGCCGCACCGTCTATATGCACGACGAGTGGATTAAGCACCGCTCGAGCGACCGCTTCTTCCGCAACATGATGACCATCGGGCAGAGCGGCGTCACGCAGAACCTGGGCGACGAGCTCGTCGTTTTCACTTCGATCGCCACGGCCGTCGTGGGCGCGAACATGCTGCTGCAGTCGTACACTGACCTCGAAGGCGTCAAGCACGCGGGTGCCTTGGCAGGCCTCTGGCAGTGGTGAGAGCCTCCGCATTTCAACCCGTGCCCCTTGCCCGCGTTCTCCTCATCCCAGGCTTGTGCTGAGGGAAGGCGCTCGCCTTGTCTGCTCAGGGGCCCGTGGAGCCTGCCATCCATGCCCTTCACCGTGGCGATGCCCGCGCTGTCGCTGCTCCTCGTCTTCCGCACAAATACGGGCTACGCGCGATGGAACGAGGCGCGCACGCTGTGGGGCGGCGTGGTGAACACATGTCGCAACGTGGTGCGCCAGTCCAACACCTTCTACCCGCGCACGCTGGAGGGCGACATGCTGCGCGACCGCCAAAAGGCCAACAGCAGCCGAGATACCGTCGAGTATCGCCGAGATGGCCAAGATGCGGCCGAGATGCGGCCGAGAGACATATGTAGCGACATTCCTATGTGCACGCCTGTTTACACAGGCCAACACCGCCGCCTTCTGCAAGGGGCTGCGCAACTTCCTGCGCGGCCCGACGGACGACGCCGTGTACCGGAGCGAGCTGCTGGAAATGGCCGAGGCGGGCCTCATTCCGCGACGGCAGGTGGACGCCTGCATGGCCGCGAAGAATCGGCCGATGTTTTGCCTCTCCGCCATGTCGCACAACATCCGCCAGGTGATGCTGGACGGCTCTCAGCGCGGCCTCCTCTCGGCTGATGTCTCGGCTGATGTCTCGGCCGCGTCTCCCCCCGTAAGGCGGAGCTCGACCCCATGTCGCGCGCGCGCATGGACCAGTCGGTGGCTATGCTGGTCGACCTGACGGGCGCGTGCGAACGCATCTTCAAGTCGCCCGTGCCGCTGGTGTACACGCGTCACACGGCGCGCTTTCTGACCTCGTTCATGATTTGCGTGCCGTTCGGGCTATGGGAGGCGACAGGCAACTACTGGAACCATTGGCTGACCATACCGGCGACGGCCTTCCTCGCCTTCTTCCTCTTCGGCATCGAGGAGATCGGCATCCAGATCGAGGAGCCCTTCTCCATCCTGCCGCTAGAGGCGTTGTGCAGCGGCGCCATCTCCGCCACGATGGACGAGATGGTCGAGGCCAACGAGGCCGAGAGTTTCCTCTTTGACGATGAGCTCGCCGCCCTGCCGACCCCCTCCCCGTCGCCTGTCTCGAAGCCGGGCCGCGTCATCAAGGTCGGCTCGGTGGAGGTTATCGTCGGCGGCTCGGTCGTGCCGACGTCACCGAAGTAGTGACTTCTGGAGCTCGGATACATTCTGAGATCAGGTTCCACTGGTAGAGCCGTAGGGTCTGACTGCCGTACCCCTAGGTTAGCTCTTAGCGCAACGAAAACACTTGGCGAAACCGTCCCTAGACGCCTTGTACCCAAATCGAGCATCCCAAAGAGTCTTGGTTCGGGCGTCACCAGCCTGCACCATGGCCCATGGGCTAGTGGTAGTGCCATTTCCGCACTCTGACACGCTAACGTAATCTTGAAAACGTCTCCAACGGAGCTCCGTGTTGCTTCCAGCGCCCTCCCCCGCGCTCCCTGCGGCCATGGCCGATGATCCTAGGAAGAGAGGTCATCTGGCTACCGCGAGAGCGACCCAACTCGTCGACATCGTCCGATGATGGTGCCGCAAAGTCAGCCTTCGGAGGCTATCGTGGCGTCGAGCCGGCAGTAGCCGTGACATGTGGTTCCACCACCCCTCTTAGGCTTTGCCTCTGACCGCCACCGTTCCCAGGCTGCCTACTGGGATGGAAAGGAAGGCTCGGCGAGCGTATAGAAGCGTGCTCGACCTCGTCGTGGCAACCTGTACGGCAGCGCTGGTAGGCGCGATGAGCGTCGTGCCACCTGACCCAAGACGGGTCGCAGGCGTCGTACCGAGCGTGTCGAGACCGTGTCCTGATGTGATCTGCACGGGTGAGTCACGTCGGCGTCAAAGGAGCGACGTGCGACCTGTCAGAGCTTGATCTCCGATCTCAGAGGCGTCGAGTCGTCTCCGGCGCGCAACAAATGTACCTCCCCAGGACGCGCAGAGGCTGCTGCGACCCCGCTGAGTGGACGGGCGCACACAGCGCCACCTGCTGTGTGCCGCCGTCTACTCGGTGGGGTCGCAGCTGCCTCTGGAAGGCACCGAGGTGTACCTTTTTGCGCAAATGGTCAAATCAAGGTTTTGTAACGCGAGCTGTGCCACAGTGAAATGGCACTAGCCATGGGGAGGCGCAAAGTCCCTCCGAGGTCCGCGCCCCCGCGCGTCACAGACTTCAAACATCCACCCGCCCTCGGGCCACTCAGACAACACCAGCTCTCCGCAGCACCACAGCATCCCCTGCCCGCCGGCAACCCCCGACGGACCGCCGTACCGCACACGCAAGCGGCGCGCACGACGTTCACGCTCTTCCGTGTCCAACCGTGTTGGGCAGTGATTTGGGGCACGGGCTAGCTCCGATCCAGACGCGTCATCGAGTATCGTAGAGAGACGCCCGCGAGAGCGGGACACGCGGATTATCGAAGCGCACGCGCCCCCTGCACACAGGGAGGAGGACGACGACGAGGAATTCGACGGCCTCGCATACAAGGTTGCACGCCTGAACGGCTCGATCGGCTCCGGGGCCAAGCGCAAGTTCATCGTGCAGTGGCAGGGGTCAAACTTCAGGGGCGACACCGTTGAGCCCGAGGCGAACGTGTGGCCGCCCCGACGGTCGCGGTGACTCAGCAGCCGCTATCGGACTTTCGGACCGCCTTGCACCGGCGCGTCTGCTCCCGCAGGATAGGGGAGCGCGTGCCTGCGTGGGAGATCCCGCTGCCGATTCCCTACATCCACGACGAGGCGGTGGCGCGCGGGCTCATCTCTTTCCTGCGCCAGAGGCGCGGAGGCGGCCTCCACGCGCTCGCAGGCGAGCTCGATCTGCAGCTCGAGCAGCAGCTCGACGTCGCGGACGCCGTCGCCTTCCACCACATTGACCCTTTGAAGAGCGTGGGCAACGTGCGCATTAGATGCGGGGGCGCGTCCTACGAGGACATGGCGCTCCTCTCCCGCCTCCGCCTGACCTTTTCGGGCCGCACGCTCACGGCCTACCTCACGCTAGTGATCTTCAACGGCTAGACCGGCATGCCCTCGTTCCCAAAGGCGGGCAAGCAGGTCAAGTACTCCCTGGGCGAGCGCAACATCCTGGTGAAGCACACGAAGAGGGCGCTCCTGCAAGAATGGGCGCCACTGCCGATCCCCACCTTCCTACGGAAGGTGGGGTGGCACGCTCTGCCAGACGGGGTGGCGGGCTGGCGACGGGCCGCGCCCGCCTCGAGCTCCCCCCCCGCCTCTGGCCCAAGACGGCGGCCGACATCGGCCGCCCGTGGCCGGCAGAGTATTCGCCCGCGGGCTCGGTGCAGCTGCAGGCTTGAGAGTTTTTGCTCTAGTTCGGGACCAGGTGGTCCATTAGGAACCATCTTTTTTTGGTATAATTACGGGCGCATGTGCCTGGCCAACTGTGTCCCATCACCGCAACCTTCCCCCGACGCGCACAACGACCTCAGCGTTCAAGTAGACTCCGACCGCTACGCGAGCGCCACTGAGCGCGCCGGGAGCTGTCGAGAGAGGAACATCACCGACACCATCTTCGTGTGGTGGAGTCCATCAGGGCGCATGTCGAGCCATCCAGCGGCGCCGAACTGGGAGATCGAGATGAAGCGAATTGCGTCCCTGAACTTGATCCCCTCCGACTGCGGCGTGTTTTTGTCGACCTCCTCGCACGCCGCCAGGCACGCGATCCACGCTTCGTGGGCCCCGACAGCAGCGAGCGTGCCCTGTTTCGGGACTGGAGAGGTGCTCTGCTGCGTGAAGAGGTCGCCAATAGGCGGGATGCGCTGCGCCGACGGTAGCATGGACGGACAGAAGCGGCCAAGCTCGTACGTGTGGCAGAGGCCAAACTCCTTGTCTTGTGCCCGCACCGCGTAGATGCGCGCGACATCGCCACGCCGTTGGCTGATGTCATTGTAGTGCTGCTCAAAGTGCTGCAGCATCGGCACTGTTTCTTCCCCTGCCACCGGGGAGAGGGTTTTAGGTCACCGGGGAGAGGGGCATGCCCCGCAAAGAGAAAACGCGAATCCCTATATACGAAGATTTCTTTTCCTCGCTTCTGAGGAAGCCGTCGCCCGTGCCTTGCCTGTCGCGTGAATCGTAAAGAAAGAAAGAAAACGGACAAGCCAAGGGAGGGATGGGAGGACGGCACGCCGCCACCACACAGGGATTTTAAGGAGAGGGGTGTGGTGCGCTAGCCGTCGCCCACCCTTGGCGTGAATCGTGTTGTGCGACGACACAAAAATTCTTTTCCCGCACACATGTCTTCCCCGCGGCGCCGCTCGCGCCGCCTCGCCTCCTCGCCAGAGACGCCGCCCACCCGCCTCCTCGACCTCCCCACGGAGCTCCTCGCGCGCGTCATCTCCCGCTGCGACCCCGCCGACATCGCTCGCGTCGCGGCTGTCTCGCTGCTCTTCCACGCCACGCTGGCGCTGGAGGGCATCCGCATGCGCCTGCAAGAGGCCGGCTACGAGCCGCCGGCGCAGCCAGAGGGCGAGGGCTGCGCCGTGCGGTGGCTTTGCTATTCGGCGCTGCTGCGCGAGTTCAACCCGCCGGTTAAGGCGGCGGCAGGCCTTCAGCACAGCCTCTTCATCGACGGCGAGGGGCGGCTCTCGTCGTGCGGAAAGGCTGAGGGCTGGATGCGGGGACTGCTCGGGCACGGCGAGGGCGTGACGCAGCTCAACACGCCGACCCGCCTCCCTTCTCCGCTGGGCGGCGAGCGCGCCGCGAGCGTGTCGGCTGGAGATGGCCACAGCCTCTCCCTCACCGCCGACGGCGCCGTCTGGAGCTGGGGCTTTGGACACTTTGGCCGGTTGGGCCACGGCGACGGGCAGGAGCAGCTGCTGCCCAAGAAGATTGAGGCCTTGGCTGGCCAGCGCATCGTCGCTGTGTCGGCTGGAGAGTACCACAGCCTCGCCCTCGCCGCCGACGGCGCCGTCTGGAGCTGGGGCGGTGGAGGCGTTGGCCAGTTGGGCCACGGCGACGAGCAGATCCAGCTGCTGCCGAAGAAGATCGAGGCCTTCACTGGGCAGCGCGTCGTCGCTGTCTCGGCTGGAGATAACCACAGCCTCGCCGTCACCGCCGACGGCGCCGTCTGGAGCTGGGGCGGTGGAGGCCTTGGCAGGCTGGGCCACGGCGGCCACCAGGACCAACTGCTGCCCAAGAAGATCGAGGCGTTTGCTGACCAGCGCGTCATCGCTGTGTCGGCCGGAGGCAACCACACCTTCGCCCTTACCGCCGACGGCGCCGTCTGGAGCTGGGGCGATGGAGGCTTAGGCAAGCTGGGCCACGGCGACGAGCAGACCCAGCCGCTGCCCAAGAAGATCGAGGCCTTCACTGGGCAGCGCGTCGTCGCTGTGTCGGCTGGTTACCAGCACAGCCTCGCCCTCACCGCCGACGGCGGCGTCTGGAGCTGGGGCGATGGAGAGGATGGCACGCTGGGCCACGGCGACGAGCAGATGCAGCTGCTGCCGAAGAAGGTCGAGGCCTTTGCTGACCAGCGCGTCGTTGCTGTGTCGGCTGGTTACCAGCACAGCCTCGCCCTCACCGCCGACGGCGGCGTCTTCACGTGGGGCAGGGGCGAACACGGCTTCCTAGGCCATGGAGAGGACCTGTCGGACCAGGTGCTGCCGAAGAAGATCGAGGCGTAGGCACCAGGAGCGGGGCGGTAATGTGAAGGGACAAGGCGGTGCGTCGCGCCAGCCTTTCGGGGACTCGCCTGTCCGACTGTCCGGGGTTGCCTGTCCGACTGTCGATCTGTCTGTGGGTGCGAGCAGGGTGGCCCGGCCGCGCCGGCCGCGGGCGAGCCCGCCGCGTCGTGCGCAGCCTGGGGTGATGCGCGGGGTGGCGGGGAGCGAGATCGCGCATGCGCCATCGGCCGGTCAGCCGGCCAGCGGCACCGCCGCCCCGCCGGTCAGTACAATAAGACGATTCGTTAACTTGAGGCTTGAGCCGCTTGGATATACACGTACCTCGAGTACAAAAAATAGCGGCGGACGAACAGGCCGGCGCGTAGTCCGCCGCGGAGACCCGCATCACTCCCGCACTCCAACGCGCGCGGTGCCGCGGTCGGTGCGTGTCTCTGTCTGCGTGACGCGGGTGGCGAGCGGACGCGAGCGCCCTCGAGTGCCGCGTCCGCCGCCCAGCACAAGCTACTGGGCGTCCGCCGCGGGTTAAAGACTCATCGTGGACAAAGGGGTGGTGGGGGGAAGCCCGTTGTGCGGGCCTAGGCGGTCGACCAATCTGCTGCAGCGCGGGTTTGCAGTCGCATAGTACTAAGCACCGTCGCGTCTGTGCGTCGCTCGCGCTCGCCATTTTGCGTAGGTATGCGAGTATCGCGTACATCTCCGCGTCTATCACCTCCCACGTGTTCGGCAGCTTTCCTCCCCACATGCCCGCCCCAAAGGCTGTCCGTATCTCCTGTTCGTCACAGGGCCCGATTCCGTTGGGATCCTTTACCTGTGCGTCCCCTGGGACGCGCCTCCCAAATCGCGTCGGTCCTTCGAAGATGCCGTAGCTACGCCACCCTAGGATTCGGCACGTACTTTCTATCCTCCGCCAGTTTGTCTTCACGGTCCTTTCCTCCGTCCGTCGCCGCAAAGTGTGTGAACTGGTGTGATACGTGCAGCGCGAGGCAAGACCATAGCAGTGGCAGCGCCCGCCATCTCGCAGTAGCCTCCAGGCGGGCATGGCTCGCAGCCGACGCTGCCAATGACAGATGAGAAGGAGCCAGCTTCGCAAGATAGGCACTCCTCTTTGCCGCTCTCTGGCTGGTGTTGGCCGGGGGCACACGGGATGCAGCTGTCGTTGCTCACGGCTCGCTCGCTGGGCATGCGGGTGCCGGCAGGGCATTGGAGCGGCTCGGCAGATCCCTCAGGACAATAGTGACCCGTTGGACAAGGGCCACTGCAGCTGGACGTGACGAGGATCGTCGCATTCCCATAGTACCCCTTGGCGCAAAGACGGTCGCAGCCGTCCAGATCGCCGACGAGCGAGCCGACGTCTGGCATCCAGTGGCCGAGCGGGCAGGGCCAGACTAGAGAGGTGGCGGCGAGGATGGTGACGTCCTTTACATTCACATGTGCCGCCTGTGCGTCGGTGGATGGCCGGACAACGTTGCCAGAGAAGTTCGTGTTGCTGACGGTAGACGCGAAAGTGGCAGACAAGAAAAGAGCGGAGGGCGGCAAAACCGCCTCGTTGTCGATGAAGCGCGTGCCGGCTAGGTTCAGACGTTCGTTTGCTAGCAGGACCACAGCCTGCGCAGGGATAGGGGAGGGGCCGCGAGAGTGGGTCGTTGCGTGCAGCGATGCTGTTGTGCAAGGCGTGCGGCGCGCACTGCTTGCGTTCCAGCCCGACAGCCGGTGAAGGTGCCAGCAGTAATCGCGATGTGCTTGCTGCCCATTACATACATGGCGCCGCCCATTTGATTGCGAGCCACACAGCGTGTGAAGTTGACAGCAGTCATTTCTACGCTGCCGCTTTGAATCACCTGCAGAGCGCCGCCGGTCTCTTTACTGGTGCAGTCTTCAAAGGCTGCACCTGATATCGAAATGTCGCCACTGTTGTAGAAGTACGCAGCGCCGGCCGTGTGGTAAGAACTGCAGCGAGTAAAGCTGACGTCGGTCATGGTCACAGCGCCACTGTTTATTACGCACATTGCACCGCCATAAACAGTAGGGCCGCCATCAGTCGGTGTTGGAGCTGAGCACTCAGTGAAGTGAGTGTCGTGCATCTCGATATTTCCGGCGTGGTCGGCATAGATAGCGCCTCCAGATGAGTAACGCCCGTTCACAAAGTGAAGTGCCTCCAGCGTTAGGTGGCACCAGCCCGAGATGAAGAGGATTGACGTCCCCCCCGTGAATACGTGTGGAAAGATCCCTGCTCCGTCGAGAGTGGCGCCCTCTCCGCTGCTGCGGATTTTGAGGTGCATGTTGGACCAACATCCGATGGTGGTATTGAGGTGGAGATGCGCCCCTGGCGGGATGTAGATGCTCGCGTTGCGGTTCTCTGACATGGCCTGGACAATCTCGTCCTGAATGTCATCCGGAGAGACGGCCAAGACCTCGCCGGCGGGGAGTGGAGGCACCGGCGGCAGGGGTGGGGATGGTGGAGGCGTCGGTGGTGGCGCCGGCGGCGACGGCGGCGTTGAAGGCGTCGGAGGCGGCGGCGGTGATGGCGGCGGTAGCAGAGGAGGAACGAGGAATGGCGGCGGCGAACTGGACAACAGCACCACGGGGACGAAGATAAGGCCGGCCATGGGCCATAAACCTACTACTGAGCTGCTCTCGCTCTCGGGACGTACGTTGGAAGCTTTTGCGCGGTCGCTCTTTTCTTTTTCAGTTGCAATTTTTTTTCAGTGACCCGCTCCGCCCACCACTCTCTTAAAGGCGCGGCTCTCTCCCTAGCTCTCTACAAGCTTGCACAAGCATCTAGAGTCTCTCGCTACCTAGGTCGATGCGGCTGCCTCTGCGGCGTCGTATGAGCTCAGCGACCAGCCGATGTCGTACGAACCCGCGTCTGCCGCCGGCCCTTCCGGCCAGCCATGCTTCGCGCGCGCATCATAGCCATAGAAGTTCAGTGCCGCCAGAGGCGCCTCGAATGACCTCGTGGTCTTTGGCTCAACGTGATGGTGTTGGGCGTGGATCTTGTCGTCGGCGTGGTGGATCTTGGCGGAGTCGCTGGTGCCAGACCTCCACCACGAAGGAGCCACCTTCAACGCCTCGGCCGCCTCGCGCCACGCGGCTCGGACAGCATCCGGCGCCTCTCCCGAAGAGGCTTTTTCGGTGGTCTCGGGCCGCCCGCAGTCGGCCAACGTATGGCACGGGCGGACGAATTGAGTAGGAGCGTACCTCTTCTCCTGTGAACAGGCGGACTGGCGTCAGTATCAAACTCTCGCCTCCCGCAGCTGTGCTCGAGCCGGCGCCATGGGCAAAGTTTCCGGCACAGCTGCTGCGTAGATGCGCGAGGCATGCGCAGCAAGAACGATGATTGTCAGGGCCCCGCCTAGAGCGGCCACGGTGCGCGGCCAGCGTCGGCGTTCGTCCTGCCAGCCTGCGTCGGCGTTTGTTTGCATGCCGATGGCGATGGGGACACGCGTGAAAAACGGCGTTTGCAAAAAGAAAATCCCGCCGCATTGTTTTTTCCATGCTGAAAAGCATCGCAAGGAAGTGACAAGGGAGAGAACGACGAGGGTGGGACGACCGCGTGGTGGCATGAAGATTGCAGCGAGAATCAGCGAGAGACTGCGAAGAGAGATAGGAAGAGGCAGACTCCCTAGGGTGGGCGACGGATAGCGCACCACACACCTCTCCTTAAAATCCCTGTGTGGTGGCGGCGTGCCGTCCTCCCATCCCTCCCTTGGGTTGTCTGTTTTCTTTCTTTCTTTCTTTGAAAAGCATCGCAAACCCTGTCAGCAGTCCTCCTCCGGGAATGTACGTAAGAGCCACATACATTGAACAGCGACACGCGCTGCTTATGTCTCTCCGTCTCGGACCGAGTGACTTCGAGAAGTCACTCTTCAAAGCGTTCACACGAGGCATCGCGACCGTTTCTTGCGCCGATCTTTGATCAAAATCAAGGCTAACCAGCCTAGAGATGACCCCTAGACACTCACCTACCTTGCCGAAAGAGAAAACAATCTGCTTTGAACTCCGCCAAGCTGCTCTAGGCTAGGAGCCTCTCCCGTCGCGGCCCGACTGGGGCCGAGTCCGCGGGGGCTCGCCAGGGGCTCGCACGGTGCACGGGCCGGCCACTAGAGCACGTACTGTGCGCGCGGGGGCGAGTGACTTCGAGAAGTCACTAAGTGACTTCTTGAAGTCACTCCTACAGATAGACACTTACCTATTGCCCCGGGCCTATTGGTACAACACGGTCTCATATCTTCCCCGGGATGCACGAGATGCTCTTTGGCAGGCCCTGCAGCCGCAGCAGCCGGTCGCAGCCGCCGCCGCCGCCATCCACCAGCCGCAAATCGACGAAGATGGGGGAGTTTGGAGGCACCTTGAAGAGGCCTCGCCCGCCGGGGCGCGGCAGCCCCTCCGCGCCGTACGCGGCGCTCGCCGGCACCACCAACCGCCTCCAGCCGCCCTCACGCATACCAAGCACCCCCTCGTCGATGCCGGCCGGCACTGTCGTAGTTGGGATGTACGGAGGACCGACGACGACTGCCGACGGCTCGCCCAGGAACCACATGCTGGGACGCCCGTCGGCCGCCCAGGTCGCGTACGCGGGCTCGCCGGCGTCGAAGGAGCTGCCCCACACCTTGATGTGGACGTAGACGCGGTCGCCCAGAGCGGGCAGAGGGCCGTCGCCCTCGACGAGGTCGATGACGCGGAGGCCGCTCGGCCGCAAAACGCCAGCCTCCGGGGAGCGGCTCGCTGCGCGCAGCTCCTCGTTCGAGGGTGTCGCGAGCGCTGCGCTCGGTGCGAGGAGCGTCAAGGCGCCGGCGCCGGCCGCCGTGAGCGCCTGCCGGCGCGTCGCGGGTGGCCGTGCAGCAGCTCGGAGCGCAGCAGCAGCAGGTGGCGCAGGCCGCACCGAGAGGACGAAGAGCGTTGCGAGCATCTCTTCGGTGGGGCCGGCCCGCTATCTGTACCAGTCCAGTCGCCGCTTGCTCCTCGGCCGAGAGAACACACACACAACGACGCAACCAGTGCGCACACCTGCCGCTTCAGTCGCGGCAAGCGTCGGTGCCTGGCGGGAGGTCGCTATGAGTCGTGAAGAAGCCTCGTCGACTCTGCTGCAGTAACGGATTTTGGCCCATGCGCATGCTCTTCCTCTTGCTCGCCGCGCGCTCGGGAGCCGGAGTGGCGGGGTCGGAGCTGCTGCAACGGCGCGAGTGGCCGCGAGGGGTCGTGCTGGGGCTCTCTAGAGGGCGAGATCACTACGCGGTGCTCGCGGCGGCGCACGGGGCAGCTTCAGCTGAAACAGAGCCTCAGCAGCGCCTTCAGGCAGTGCAGCACAACGCCAGTGGCCTCTCTGGAGCTATGCGGCGGCTGGCGGGCCTGTGCGATGGCGCCGATCCGTGGGCTCGGGACGCGCAGTCGGCTCGTGTGCCGGTTGCCGAGTCAGCCTGGCTGGCGAGAAGCGCCAAGCCCAAGGCCTTCCCTGCATTCTGGGCGCTGCCCAGAAGTGCGCAGTACCTTTGCTGCGCCGACGGGCGGCCTCGATGCGGATTGCCGCGAGTGGCGTGGGAGCCTCCAGTGGGGCGGTCGTTGGTCAACACCGCGGCGCGTGCGCGCCGCGGGTGCTGCACAACAAGCGGAGAGCATGGGCGGGCGCTCGATCGCGTTCCGGCGCCCAACTTTGACTATCGATTACCGCCGGTTATTATAACCGGTGGGAGATCGTTCCTGCAGACGGAGGGATTCAACGCGGCGATAACTGCCCGAGACGTCCCTAACCTTTATTTATTTCTGCCCTGCTTCAGGAACCGGGGGCCGTCTTCCTCAACCAACCAAACTTCATTACCGACTGCCGGTCGTTGGGGACACGTGACTCCTGCAAAGGGCAGTGTCTCCACCCGGGAGTCGGACATTCCAAACCCCCCCCTGCCCCCTCTCTCTCCCCCCCCCATCCTAGCCCTCTTTCTCTCTCCTCCTCTTTCTCTCTCTCCTTCTCCCTCATTCCCCCCCCCTCCCCCCTCTCCATCTCTGCCGCCCCCGTGCCAACCCCCGCCGCCGCCTCGCCTGCCTCCGCCTCCTCCGCCACCCCATCTCCCGCTCCCCCCGGAGGAACGTCCTCTCCGTCATTATAGCGCTGAACCGACGGCACCCCCGCCGCCGACGGGGCCGCCACCGTATGGACCCGCTCGGAATAACCTGGGGGATCCGGGACCGCCCCGCCGGAGGCTGGTGTACCCGGGAGGAGGAGACGGGGGAAGGGAATTACCGCGGTACGAGAGCGGACCCGCCGGCGAACCGGAAAGCCGAGGCCGGAGGGCCCCGGGGGGGGCTTGGGGTCAGCTGTCGGAGGAGGCGAGAGATGAGCTGACGCGGCCTCTGCGAGTAGAGTCGGGACGTACGGACGAGCCGAGGACGATAGAGAGACCGCAGTGGCGGGCGCGAGTCCTCGACCGAAGAGAGCTGGCCCCACTTCCCGGGGAGGGGCGGCGTGGCGATCCAATGCCGCTGCGGTAGGTAGACATTCTACCTCCCATCCAACCCACCGAAACCCGTGTGGATGGGTTTTACCGCCGCCTTTTACCATCCATAGCCGTCGGGTTTTACCTCGCGTTCTCTTGGTGTCGTCTATGGTTTGCTAGACCCATGAGACCATCCTCACCGCGCTATCGGGCGCCTCCACCGCCGCCCTCAGCCACGCCGCTACGACCGTCGGAGGCGTCAACTCCGCCGTCACATGGTATCAGCTCTGATCGCGGTCCAGCGCCAGCCCAACACGCCAATCCACCCGCAGGCTCAGCGCCTGCCATGCGGCCGCCGCCACCAGTGCTGCGGCCGCCACCGCAGCAGCTGCCGCCACTGCCCACCGGCCCGCCACCAGGGACGACTGGGCACGAGCCACCCGTCGGGCACGTGCCGCCCGCCGGCTCCTACGCATCACCATCGCAATGTGGTGCGGCATCGCACAGCCAATGCGCAATGCCGATGCAGCCGGTCCCGCCGGCCCAGCAACTGCATATGCATGGCGGGTGTGGAGCCCCACAGCCCTTCTTCAGCCAGCCCTTCTGCGCCAGCGCCGGCCAGCTGTGCTCGCAGCCCGCTATGTATTCGCCGCAGCAACAGTACGGCATGCCGCAGCAGTGCATAATGGACCCGGCATTGCCCCCCTTCATGCAGGGCATGGCTCTCGCCCGAGGAGTCGAGCATGGAATCACCGTCGGTGATGGCGACAGAATCGGACAGAGAAGACGAGACGGTGGCGGGGCCGCGGCTGAAAAAGGCTAGGAGGGGAGGTCGGGCCCCGCGCCCGTCGGATGATCATCGGAAAGCGAACAAGAGGAAGAACTCAGAGGAGAGGGGAGCCTCCTCCGGAGTGAGGATGAGGACCTCGTGCGAAGGGGTCCTGAGCGGTGACGTCGTGTGAGAGTGCGTGTCGTGTTCATTATAGCTCCGAGTAGAGGGGGCGGTCTGCTGCTAGGGGAAACCCGGAGCGCGGAGCCAACCCTCGGAGACCCGTGTTTACTTTACAGCCCTTGCCCTGCGAACGCGCACCCCCGGGGCTAGGGCTCTCTTGCCCGCAACCCGATCCCGATCATCCGGCCCGCTGGGTGCGCTTCTGAGCTCCCCGGCCCTGGATGTGAGGCTAATGACTGCACTCCAAGTGCTCCAAGTACTCGTCCCCTGGCCCTGCCTGTGATCGCCGCGCAGCCACACGCCACACCGCAAACCAATTCCTCCGGCTCTCCCAGGGGAGGGCGGCCGCGAACCAGCCTTTTTCTCGCTGTGTCGCCCCCTCACCGTGGGCTCAAAGGCGTGGCCTGTACCCGCAGGGCCTGTACTGGCCCCGTTATACTCCCCGCGCGCACACACACACAAACAAACGAGGCTCATGTCACTTGGTCGCCACGTGGCGCACCTCCGCCGCCACCCTGGCCGCCGCCTCGGGCTTTAGTCGCGCCGCCGTCTGCGCGAGCTCGGGCAGAGCGCCGAGGAGGCGCTCGCGCCGCTGGTCGCTCTCCTCAATCTGGGCGTACATGCGCAGCCGCGTGGCGTGGCGCTCGTCCTCATGGATGCGCGCGCGCTGCGAGAGGCGCACCGAGAAGAAGAGCGCAATGCCGGCCAGCAGGAGCCCGGAGTAGATGAACTGCCGGTCCCGCCGCAGCGCCAGCTCCTCCTGCTGCCGCTTGAAGGCGGCGAAGGCGGCGTCGGAGTCGCCGCTCGCAGCGGCGGCGACCATCCGCCCGCCCGGGGAGGAGGAGGTGCTCTGAGAGCGCTGCGAGGCGAGCCGCGGCAGCGCAGTGCAGCGTCCCAACATGGCTGGCTTGCTTCGCTTCCCACCGCGTCACAAAGCGGGCCGCGCATTTCTTTTTTTGGTAACCGGGGCGTGCATGTCTTGCGGGGCTCGTGAGCGGCGCCTACTTACCTCGCTTCGTCGACGCGGCGCTTCGTACACACAACCACCCCGCCGCATTCGTCGCCGGCGCGCGACACGTTCCCGTCGGCCGGACTGTCCTCGCCGAGTGCGTGCCGCTGAGGTCCGCCGTTCATGGAGGCAACCGATGCGAGTCGACTGGTGTGTGTCGTCGTGGTTTCGTATCAAGAATACTCACTCACTCACATGGTACCAGGGTAACCGCGGCCGCTGCCTCACGCCGTAACGCACGCGACCTTGAGCACTTGAGCACTGGATTGGGTCGATTCCGCATGTACGGGACCCCTCGATCGTCTCGCCCTCACTGGTGTGTTCATTGCACATTGGGAGGGGTCATCACAAACACGGTACATACAGGATCGAGGTGCACGCCGCTGAGGGGCTGAGGGACCCGCGGACCCCAGAGGGTGTTTCGAGCGGTGTCGTCCCCCCCTCTCCACGCATCTCACTGGGAGACGTCGCGGCGGTGATGGCGGTGTGACCGATCGAGCTGAGCCCTGGCTGTCAGGCTGTCAGGTGCTGTCAGGTGATCTGTCGGGCTGTCGGGCACTGTCAGACACTGTCAGGTGCCTCTGTCAGACCAGCTGTCAGGTGCTGTCAGTGCTGTCGGGTGCTGTCGGGTGCTTGTCTGACATCAGAGGTGATCTGTAGCTGTCGGGTGCTGTCGGAGCTGTCGGGTGTTGCTCTGTCAGACGCTGTCGGAGCTGTCAAAGCTGTCAGGCTGCTGCTGCTGTCAGACGTAGGGCCGGTGCTGTCAGGTGCTGTCAGGTGGTGCTGTCCGGGGCGCTGTCAGGCTCTGACACACACCAGCCACACTTATGACACTATCAAGAGGATACCAGCAGGACTCTACTACACATACTCTAGTCTCTACTCTGCCTCCGGTCCAGCTCCCACCATCCTTTTTTCATGGTGGACGTCACCATCTTCTGCCGCACTGAGAGAATAGCAGAGAGGCCAGGCAGCTGGAGTGCTTCTTCAGGTACACCTTGCTGATGATCTGGTAGTTGCTGGTCCAGCGGAAGGCCTCCCATCGTTGTCGCTCGTCAGCTTGTAGTACTCTTGCACGCTCTGTTCTGGTAGCGCGGGCCGTCTGGGGGGGTCCCGTCACCCTTCACCTCACGGTACCACCGGAGGATAAAGAGGCCCTTGGGGTCATTGATGAAGACCCTGTTGCTGCGCTGACTCATCGAGAGCTGGCGCAGGTACTCTGCGCTCGAGCTGCCAGTGGCGCGGCGCGCGTCTACCGTGCCGGCGGCCGCGGCGGCCGCCTGGGGGGAGCGCAGATGGCGGCGCAGGCGCAGGCGGCGGCGGCGGCACAGACGGCGGCGGCCACCACCACCCAGACGCCGTAGGCATATGACTGTAGGGCCCCAGAAGGCTAGCTGGTAGCTTCATAATTTGTAGTAGCACAGCCGCGGGTCCGCAGAGGTGGGGCGGGAGAGGGTTGAGAGAGAGACCCATGACCATCCCATGACTAGATAGACCACACTCACATGTACATGTACATGTTGTTGTTGTGCATGTGCATGTCTTTGCATGTAATAGTTTTGTTATACCCTCATGGGGCACAAGAAAGAGGCTGCACGGCCTGTGTACGGTCTGTGCTGCTGTCGGGCTGGTCGGGCTGTCGGGCTCAGGTCGGGCTGTCAGCGCTGCTGTCAGGCCACTGTGTGCTGTCGGGCTGTCGGGCAGCTGTCAGGCTGTCACGTTAGGGCCTGACAGCGACGGGTCACCTCTGATGTCAGGCTCTGCTGTCAGGCTGTCAGATACGTGCTGTCAGGCTGTCAGAGAAAGTGCTGTCAACGCTGTCAGGCTGTCGGGCACTGTCAGGCGCTGTCCGGGGTTTGCTGTCGAGTGTCGTGCTGTCAGACCAGGGGCAGGGCTCAGCGATCGAGCTAGCGAGCTACAAAGAGGAGCTTGTGTGTTCAGCAATCAGCATGTGATCAGGGTGAGCCGAGCAGTTCTCACTTCCTCGAGGGGGGGTGGTCTGAGTAGCCGGGTCTAGCCCTCACGATACGTATTGTACAGTGAAAATTGTTGCATGTTGGGTGAGAGTTCACAGTTCTCTGGCTTTTCAGCATCGTCCCATATTGATATGAGATAACGGAGATAGGTAGAACGGGTAACGCGGGGGCCGGGAGACGGAGCTCCGGCCTCTGCCGTCGGCTGAGCTTCTCCTCCACTCAACCTGCGAGCTTGCGGGGGCCGCCCTCTCCCCAAAAACAACCCTCACACTACGGCCGGCCTGAACGCGGCTCTTTACCTCTCACAATCACCTCGAGGACCGCCGCCGCCGGGCAGCCCGCTTGGACGGGCGATCGGACGAGGCTCCGTCTGTGCCGCCGCGCTCGCCTCCTTCGGCCGGCAACCCCGCGGACACGGCGCGGCGGTCGATCCGCGCGCGCAGCTCGTCGCGTCGCTCGATGTACGCGCGGTAGTCGCCCTGCTCGGCGTGAAGCCGCCCGCCGCGCAGCTCGGCCACCTTGCGTTGCGAAGACGCGAAGGTCAGGGTGCGAGTACGGTGCATCATGCCGTGCATGCGGCGCATAGACAGCGATACGAATACAGCCTCGCGCGAGCACACGATGGAACGCAGCCGAGAGGAAGGCAGGGAGGCCGCATCCTTCTAGAGGCTTCGGCCACCCGCGTGGCGACGTGCGCGGCAAAGGCGCGGTCGTGCGAGACGAGGAGCACCGCGCCGTCGAACGACCGGAGCGCGTCGCCCAAGTACTCTCGCGCGCGCAAGTCGAGGTGGTTGGTCGGCTCGTCCTGCACGCAGAGGGAGGTGCAGCGTCATATGCTGGCCTTGCCTGCTTTCGCCTCTCTTGCCCGCTGAGCAAGACGCGGTAGCCGTGAATCATCGCTGGCTTGGGTGCGGGGGAGCCGCTGTGCAAGGCGAACCAAGCCGGAAGAGGGGGGCGAAGGGGGGGGGGGGGGGCAGGAGGGCAGGAGGGCAGGAGTGTTTGCGAGGGCGGCGGCGCGCCAGCACGAGCAAGTTCGCGCGCGAGAGGAGCATCGACGCGATGCACAGACGCGTGCGCTCGCCGCCAGACAGGGCTGAGACGGGCTTGCGCTGCGCGGTGGCCGGGAAGCCTGGCGCATCAACACGGGGGACTGTGCGGGGGGAACGAGCCTCGTGCAGGGTACTCAGAGCCTCGCGTGAGTGTGCGAGGGCTGCGAGAGCGGCGGCAGTGCATCCAGAGACGGCCGAGCTGCGGGTCTGGCATCTAGATAAGGTAAACCCATCTGACGCAACGCGCGCCGCACCGCCCCCTCGCCCAATCCGGCCGCCTCGCCGCAGATCCACTCCCACGCCGACGCTCCACCGCTCACGCGGTGCGCCGCGTCCTGCGCTGGGTGATCTCGGGTGATCTCGGGTGATCTCGGGTGATCTCGGGTGATCTCGGGTGATCTATGGGGAGGTATGGCGGGATGTGGGGAGATACGGGTAGATGCGGGGAGATGTAGGAGTGTGGGGAGAGCTCATGAAGTAATCGTTCGCGTCCTGCGTGAGGAAGAAAGGCCGCACGTCGCAATTCCGCGCCACCTCGCCCGCCAGCAGCGGCCACTCGCCCGCCGCCACACGCAGCAGGGTCGACTTGCCGGCGCCGTTCGCGCCGACGAGGAGGAGCACCTCGCCCCGCCGCACCTATTCCCGGCCACTCTTCTTCCCCCCGCTCCTCGCGCCGGTCAGGCTCAAGAGGTGAAGGAGCATGGTGGCGCGGGCGGAGGAGGCAATGTAGCGGCGCGAGTGTGGCTTCCCGGGTGTCTCTGGCTCGCGGGCCGACCACCCCGCCCCCGCCGCACCTCGAAAGACACCTCGGAGAGCCCGCGCGATCCGCTGCCTCCAGCGCCGGCTCCCGCAGCGCCGCCTCCAGCGCCTCCTCCAGCGCCGCCCGCAGCGCCGCCTCCAGCGCCGCCTCCCGTGCTGCCGCCCGCAGCGCCGCCTCCAGCGCCGCCCGCAGCGCCTCCAGCGCCGCGCCCCTCCGGCGCGGCTTCAAAGGACAGCGACGCGCCTCGAAGCGCGAGCATCGCGTCCGTGCCCGCCGCCGCCGCGGCGCCTCGCCGCGCACGCTTGGCGCGCCTCGCCTGGTTTTCGAACCATGACTTGCGCGGGGCATCTTGGAGAGTACCCGAGATCGCGCGAGATCGCGAGGGGCCGAGGACTGGCAGGGGCAGTGCCGAGATTTGGCGCGCGCCGTTGGCGTCGCCGCCGTCAGCAGTTGGAAGCGCGACGGGCGGAGGGTGTCGGGGAGAGGCGGAGGTAAGACGCCTAGAGGAGCGGAGGTGAGGAGAGTCGTGCGTGCGGTGTGAGTAGCGTGAATGAGGATGACGAGGGTGAGTGGTGTGTAGAGGTGAGAGGAAGGAGGATGTGTCAGATGTGGACGTGAGTCACGGACAAGGCATTTGGGAGAGCGCTCCTCCCTCCTCCTCGCCAGCCGGCGAGGCGTCGCTCTCCACCTGCTCCATGGCCTCGCGCTGCAGCGCGGCGCGGCGCAGAAAGTCCGAGTACGAGCCTGCACGGTGAAGACACGCCGACGTCATCAGAGCGCCGCGTGCATGTGCAGCGCATACAACTGAATGCGGTCGAGTGCAGCTGAAGTCAGTGGAGTACGAGCCTGCGTACAGCTCCCCGTGGCCGAGGTGTGGGGAGATATGGGGAGATGCGGGGAGATGTGGGGAGATATGCGCCTGCGTACGGCTCCCCGTGGCCGAGGTATGGGGAGATATGGGGAGATGCGGGGAGATGTGGGGAGATATGCGCCTGCGTACGGCTCCCCGTGGCCGAGGTATGGGGAGATATGGGGAGATGCGGGGAGATGTGGGGAGATATGCGCCTGCGTACGGCTCCCCGTGGCCGAGGTATGGGGAGATGCGGGGAGATGCGGGGAGATGTGGGGAGATATGCGCCTGCGTACAGCTCCCCGTGGCCGCCCGCGGAGTGCAGGAGGTGCGTCGAGAGGCGGTCGAGCACCTCGCGGGAGATGTGGGGAGATGTGGGGAGATGTGGGGGAGATGTGGGGGAGATGTGGGGAGGTGTGGGGAGGTGTGGGGAGGTGTGGGGAGGTGTGGGGAGGTGTGGGGAGGTCTGAGGGAGATGTGGGGCAACGAGGGAGGCCTCATGCACGGCGAGATGTGGGGAGATGTGAGGAGATGTGGGGAGATCTCGCGGATCGGAGGAGGTGCGTTGAGCACCTGCACGGCCGAGACGACGCCCCTCGGCGAATCTCGGCGCACGAATCTCGGCTCCTCTCGGCTCCTCTCGGCTCCTCTCGGGCCCCTCGGCGAATCTCGGCGCATCTCGGCGCATCTCGTCGACTCTCGGGCACCTCGCGGTCGTGCGAGACGACGACCACTCCGCCGTGGCCCATCTCCGACAGGACAAGCCGCTCGAGCCACTCGGTGCCTAGTCGAGGCGACTCTCGAGGAGGCTCGACGTCTCAAGACAGGAGGGAGCCGCTCCTCCGCCGCTCGGTGCCCAATCAGTGAACGACCGCATGCGGCAGCGACCGAAGCGGACTTACGGGCTTCTGCGCCACGGCGAGCGCCTGCATGGCTCATACGCCGGCCTCAGGGCGGAAACACGGTCTCGTGCAGCGTCCTCAGAGCACCGCGTGAGTACACGGGATACGAATGCAGTGAGTACGGCCGACTACGGCCGACTACGGCGGAGTGCGTGTCCTCTCGAGCGCTGGTGGGAATTCAAGAGTCCGTGTTCCGCTTCTAGGGGCGAGAGCCGTCGAGACGCGTACGAGCTGGCCGTGCGACAGCGAGCAGAGGGGCGCCTGGTCACAGCGACTCTGCAGACTGACCACAGTGCGCCGCGTGGTGCGGTGTGGTGCGGTGCGGTGTGGTGCGGTGTGGTGCGGTGCGGTGTGCAGTGTGGTGTGTGTGAGGTGAGTGGTGGCGGCGGGCGCGTGTGAGAAGCTGGCCGTGCGACAGCGAGGAGAGGGGCGCAATCGAATACAAATCGAATCGAATCGAATATGCCTCCAGCGCCGCAGGCCGTCGCAGCTCCTCCGGCAGCAGCGCCACAAACGACTCCCACGCCACGGGCGACTCGCCCTCGCACCTCATCGCCCCGCCGCCGCCGCCGCCGCCGCCGCCGCCCTCCTCTCCACTGCTGCCGGCGAGCTGTTCCCGCGCAAAGGCCGACACCAGCAGGCGACAGGCGCGGAGGCGGCTGGGCGCGTCCTGGTCGACCAGTGCGACCCGCACCGCTGGGCCTGTGGGAGATGCGGCCGAGATCTAGCCGAGATTCAACCGAGATGCAGCCGAGATATGATGAGCCGCCTCACCGCGCACGACTGCGCCCTCCGACGGCGACGCCTCGCCAGCGAGCAGGCGGAGCTGCATCGACTTGCCACAGCCTGACTCGCCGAGCACGCCGAGTCGCTGCCCGCGCCGCACGGCCCACGACTGTGGCGCGAGGACGAGGCGCTCGCCGAGGCGGAGCGAGACGCGGTCGAACGCGGCGACCACCTCTCCGCCCTCCGCGCCCGCGTCGCCGCCCTTCTCCTGCACGAGCTTGGCCCACCGCGTCATCACGGTGCGCCGCCACGCGCGGCGCTGCTCCGGAGTCATGCCGCTGTCAATCTCCTCATCCTCGTCCTCGTCCTCCTCCTGCCACTCGCCGAAGCCACGTGCGCCGCCGTCCGCGGAGCCAAAGCCGCGCCCGGTAGCGGCTGTCGGCACCGCCTCTGACCGGTCCTCCTCGGTCGCGACGACGGCGGCCCGGAGCGGTCCGAGAAGGCGCCGCGGTCCGAGATGATGAAGCTCAGTGTGGTAGCAGCGGGCGGGCGCGATGGCGATGAGCTGCAAGGCCGCCAGCCGCAGCGTCATGGCCAGAAAGAAAAATCCTTTTCGCTGCAGATCCTATTTTTTCTTTTTGGGAGAGGGTGCGCGAAGAAATTTTTCAGACAGCCCGGGGTTTGAGATTCGGCTCGCAGATCACCCGGCGAACCACCGACACTTCTGTGATTCCGTCATGGCCAGGCCCAACTGATGAGAGTTTTCTTTTGTGAAATCTTTTGTTTACTGTTTTTGTCTGCCAGTGCGCCTTTCCCGTTATGTATTGTAAAATTCTTTTGGGGAGCCTGTCTGCTAGAAAAAAAATATTTTCGCCACGCCGGGAGCCTCGCTAGAACCGGCCTCTCTAGAGCTGAACTTCTCCCTTCCTCCCTGCCTGTGTGCGCCTGCGGCGCGATTTTTCCTCCCTATGCCTCGAAAAATGCATATTTTCGCCCCTACCGCCAGCAGCCGCAAATCAACGCCAACTCAGAGGCGGCCCGACTCTCGGCGGGAGGAGGCTGCCAAACGCGGTGGAGACGTCTGTGCGCTCGACATGGGCCGCGGCCACAGCGGTGCTGTACGCCAGGTACAGCTCGTCCTCTCGCCTGTACATGGAGATACGCGCTCAAGCGAGCCAAGGGGGGGCTTCGCGCGCGAGGCTGGTGTGGCCACCGCTCGAGAGTCGGAGGAGGGGCACCGGCGCGTGCGGCGCGTGCGAGGCTCGCAGCGATCGCTGAGTGATTGGATTGGAGATGTAGTATCAGCGTCGGCAGCCCGTCCTGGAAGCTCCGCGCGGCCTCCCGGAGCTCGATCTCGAGCGCAGCAGCGCAATGTATATCCGATACCGCCGTGTTTCGAGGTAGGGCAGAGGTTCCGGGACGCGAGTTCCCCCGGGTTACCTTGGGCACTATTTTCGATCTTTTTCGTAGCTCACACACGAAGGGACTCAAATCTTCGCAGACCGCCGTCGACCTGTGGGAGATCTATCTCACCGGTACCATCCATGTTGATGGTTCGATCCTCCCCAGAGTCGAACGGGCAGCCACTCGCACCAAGGAGGCGAGGTGTGGCTACATGACCCAGAAAAGGCCAGAGTCAGGAGCAACCCTCGAGGTGGGTCGCTCATATACTCAACAAAAATGCTTGCTGTCACCCGTGAAGGGTGACATGATGGTGTTTTACCGCGAGGGGTTGCAACACGCCGTAACGGCTGCATATTTTCGCAGAGGGATGCATCCAGTGGCACGTCCTGGAATTTGAGGCGTGCTTTCGGACCGCTCCTCGGTGACCAAACGACGAGCTCGGTTGGTGACGTGGTGATGTACACCGGGCCGTTGCAGCCAGTTGGGCTGCTCCTCGGGACTGGCAGCGACTTCGGTGGCGGGACACAACCGTGGCCTGCGGACGGCGCGATCGACGTGCATACCGGCGACGTCGGACCGACGCGAGCAAACAACCTTCACGGGCACTCCTCGTCCGCGCCTGGCCGCGCCCGGCAGCGCGGTCAATCCTGGTCCGCCTTCTTTCTCCTGCTGCTCGAAGCGTGCGGCGGCGTGCTGCTGAGCGAGTGGATGTGGCCGCCGCGCTTCGGTGTGCGGTGCCGGACGGGGTCGAAGCGCGGCGCGTGGCTGCTTCTTCTCGTTGCGCTGCTCCCGCTGGCATGTGCACTGCCGCCGCCGTCACCTCCGCCGCCGCCGTCACCACCGCCGCCGCCGCCACTCTCGTCGCTGTCACCACCTCTGTCACCACCTCTGTCGTGGAGTACGTGCGACTGGGTTACTTCGATCAGCAACACCGATGGCGAATATGCGATGGAGTACGCCGATTCGCCTGCCACATGCATCGAGCTAGCAACTGCTGCCGGCTGCGAAATTGCCAATTTACCATCTTCGGGGAGCGGCACCTGCTGGTGTCAGTTCCTGAAAGGCACGACGCCAGATTATCAGCCTGGCGCTGGATACAAAGCGTGCGTGCTGCCGCCCCCCCCTCCGCTGCCGCCAGCATTGCCCCCGCTGCCCCCGCTGCCCCCGCTGCCGCCGGCCTTCCCCGGCTTCGATGTCGCCGCGGCGAGCGAGGATCTGCTCCGCTCCCTGATCGAGGGGGATGCTGTCAACATCTCCATCTACCTGCCGCCCAGTGCAGACTTCAAGCTGAGCAGCGAGATCAGCTGCACCTCCACCATCAAGGTGACCGTCGCGAGCAGCGGAGAGGGAGCGACGCTCGACGGCCAGGAATTGACCAAGCTCTTTTACCTCTCGGGCGGCTGCAGCCTCACCTTGCGGGGGCTGACGCTCGTCAACGGGAAGGCGGATTACGGCGGCGTTGTGGAGGCGGACGGCGCAGGCGACGTCGAGATCATCGACTCGGATGTGAGGGGCTGCTCGGCTAATGTGCGCCGCGTAGAGCTAGCCGCCTCCCTGCAGTGCCGCACGGCAGCGGGGCGAGAGATAGAGAGGGCCACAGCTGCCTCACCCCGCTCTCTCCTCGCAACCGCAGGAGGGCGGCGTCGTCTACGCGCAGTACAGCGGTGCGGTCTCGATAACCGGCTCAACCGTGACGGGCTGCTCAGCGGTGCATGTGCGCCGCGTAGAGCTATAGCCGCACCCCTGCAGCGCCGCACGGCAGCGGGGCGAGTGATAGAGAGGGACATGGCTGCCTCACCCCGCTCCTCCTCGCAACCGCAGGACGGCGGCGTCGTCTCCGCGGTTGAGAGCGGTGCGGTCTCGATAATCGGCTCCACTGTGACGGGCTGCTCGGCTGGCGATGTGCGCCGCGTAGAGCTAGCCGCCCTCCCAACACCGCCGCACGTCAGCGGGGCGAGTGATAGAGAGGGACACGGCTGCCTCACCCCGCTCTCTCGCAACCGCAGGACGGCGGCGTCGTCGACGCGGCTAGCAGCGGTGCGATCTCGATAATCGGCTCCACTGTGACGGGCTGCTCGGCTGGGGTGCGCCGCGTAGAGCTAGCCGCACCCCCTGCAGCGCCGCACGGCAGCAGGGCGAGAGGTAGAGAGGGACACGGCTGCCTCACCCCGCTCTCGTCTCGCAACCGCAGAAGGGCAGCGTCGTCTACGCGTCTAGCAGCGGTGCGGTATCGATAATCGGCTCGACTGTGACGGGCTGCTCTGCTGTCTATGTGCGCCGTGTAGAGCTAGCCGCCCGCCCTGCAGCGCCGCCACGGCAGCGGGGCGAGAGATAGAGAGGGCTGCGGCTGCCTCACCCCGCTCTCGTCTCACAACCGCAGGAGGGCGGCGTCGTCTACGCGAGGGGCAGCGGTGCGGTCTCGCTAATCGGCTCGACCGTGTCGGGCTGCTCGGCTGATGTGCGCCGCGTAGAGCTAGCCGCCAGCAGCGCCGCACGGCAGCGGGGCGAGAGACAGAGAGGGACACGGCTGCCTCACCCCGCTCTCTCCTCGCAACCGCAGGTCGGCGGCGTCGTCTCCGCGGAGTTCAGCGGTGCGGTCTCGCTAATCGGCTCGGACGTGTCGGGCTGCTCGGCTGGCGATGTACGCCGCGTAGAGCTAGCCGCTCTCCCTCCCGCGCCGCACAGCAAGCAGCGGGGCGAGAGATAGAGAGGGACACGGCTGCCTCACCCCGCTCCTCCTCGCAACCAGCGCGGCGGCGTCGTCTACGCGGAGGACAGCGGTGCGGTCTCGATAATCGGCTCGAACGTGACGAGCTGCTTGGCTCGCAATATGCGCCGCATAGAGCTAGATGCCCTCCCTGCAGCGCAGCACGGCAGCGGGGCGAGCGACAGAGAGGGCCACGGAGCTGCCTCACCCCGCTCTCTCCTCGTGCCACACCGCCCACAAGAGAAGACAAGGTTAAGAGAGTCACAGCTGCCTCTCGCCCCTCTTTTCGCAGGACGGCGGAGCTACATACACGTGGGACACCGACCTCATCGTGACCGACTCCACTATCTCTGCCTGCAAAGCCACGCGAGGCGGAGCAGTTTACGTGGTCTCGGGCTCAGCCAGCCTGGCCCGCTCAACCATCTCCAACTGCATCGCCACAGAGTCTGGCGGCGGCCTCTACTCGGCGGGCGGAAGCACCTCCCTGAGCGACGGCACCCTCATCAGCGGCTGCTCTGCCGAGGGTCAGGGGAGCTCCATCTTCCTTCTTGGCGAGGTCTCCTACACCCTCCCCGCCCCGGCCGGCCGCTGGCTGCCAAACGCGCGCTGCGAGGTGTACCGGAAGGCGTGCTCTTACCCCTCGTGCAGCAACAACGTTGTTGACCAGAGGCGATGGTGCAAGCTATTACAGGCTTGCGACGAGCGCGGCGTGTGCAAGCAGACGGCTTGCCTCGAGCACCGCGACGACTGCGCGCTCACGGAGAGCGATGCGATCGAGCCTTCATCGGGCGAGAAGGAGGCGGCTTGTGACAGGCACACCGATAACGAAACGCGGGCGGCTTGCAACGTCAGCGATTCGTGGTACTGCCAGGCCCCGACCTTCGTGCAGCCTTGCAACTGGAATTTGACCAGAGGCGATCACTCCCTCCTCGGCAAAAGCCTCTACCATTTGCCGCTGCTGCCCGTCAACCAGGACTTCCCCTTTGCCTGCGCCGCCGGCCTCAACAGCTCGACCGACACTGAGGACCAGTCGAGCAGCGTCTGCGGCGGCCCGTGCCCCATTGGCTTCTCTTCAGCTGAAGCAGCCGGGTCATGTGTCGAGTGTGCTGCTGGCTTTTATGCCGCCAATCGCGGCATGGGCGAGTGCACCCCCTGCCCTCACCCCCTCAGTACAAGCGGGAGCGGCAGCGTCACCTGCTCCGTGTGCAAGGAGGGCTTCTACCTGCAGGACGCGACCGCCCTCCCGGTTGACATCTTCCGTTTCCCGACCAAGCACTGCAAGGCGTGCCCACCAAACGCCATCTGCGCGACCAACACTACTCTCGAGACCCTCGTCGTCCCGCGCGGTAACTGGCGCGCCTCGCTCCTCACCACCGAGATTCACGCGTGCGACGCCTCCGACCACTGCAGCGGCTCGGGCGGTGCGGGGGAGGCGGATTCCTCCCGCCTCGGCTTGGCGGCTCCTGGCAGCGCCGGCGAGGGCTGCGATCTCGGCTACACGGGCCCGCGCTGCGAGTGGTGCGTGAGCGACGAGCAGTACTTCAGCCGCGCGGAGTCAGGCTGCGTCGACTGCCCGACGACGGGGCGGTTCGGCATCCTGGCGGGAGTCATCGTCGCTCTCGCAGGGGCGGTGCTCCTCTCGCACCGTGCTCTCGTCAGCACCGAGGCGTGGGGCCGCTTCAGAGCACGTGTTGACATCATCGAGTCGCAGGTTGGCTACGAGGCCCCACCCCACAACTCACGCGCACACGCAACCGCGGCGCCTCTTGCACCTTACTTGCCTAGAGGCTTTTCGCCGCATAGGATGGAATTCGCCCGTCCACACTACACCTTATACACCAACAACCTGTACACCTTGCCACAGGTCGGCTTCCAGCCCAAGTTCAAGGTCCTGGTCGGCTTCTACCAGATCGCTACGACGCTCGGTCCTGTCTACGGCGTCCGCCTCAACGAGGCCTTTACGCGCTGGACCAAGTTTATGGACTCGCTCAGCTTCGACGTTATCGGCCTCACCTACCCGGGCGCCTGCATGGGCTCGATGCGAGTCCGGCTCATGGTCGCCGGCTTGTGGCCTCTCGTTGCCATTTTGCTTGGAGGCGCCGCCCTTGCCTGCCACGCCCTCGCAGAGTGGCTTATGTCTGGTCGCGCCGACGACCTCCGTCGCGACGTTGTCCGTGCCACGCTGCGCCGCATCCTCTACTGGGCCATCCTCGTCGCCTATCTCGTGCTCCCCTCAGTCTCTCGCACCATTTTGAAGGTGGAGCAGTGCGAATCGTTTGCCTTCAACGACATTACCGGGGAGAAGCGCAGCTACCTCGTGGCCGACCTCGATGTGCTCTGCGGCGCTGACGACGAAGAGTACAGCGGCCTCGACGCGTACTTCTGGGCCTTCTTCGTCCTCTGGCCGGTGCTCGTCCCGCTCGCTTTCCTCGCGCTGCTCCTCTGGATCCGCTCCGAGGTGCGGGCGCAGCGCGTTGGCTCTCTCGCCCGAGCCAGCCGCTTCCTCTGGCGCGACTACGACCCGGGCATCCTCTTCTGGGAGGTCGTCGATCTGAGCCGCAGGCTCTTCCTCGCCTCGCTGGTGCTCTTCATCCAAACAAACACCGGGTCGTCCAAGCTCCTCCGCCTCATCATCGCGTCTGTCGTCTCGGGCCTCTACCTTACCGCTCTCGCCCTCGCCCGGCCCTTCAAGCGCACCGATGACCTCTACCTCGCGTGCACCGCCAATCTCTTGCTCTTGTGCTGCTTCATCTCGGGCATCGTGATTCAGCTCTGCCCGGATCCGGGCGCGAGTGCCGCTTACGAGGGCATGTGCTACACCCTCGTCGGCTTCGACAGCGCGCGCGGAGCGAGTGAGTTTGTGATCGTGCTCACCGCCGCGATGCTGGCCGCGTCGCTACTCGTCGTCCTCTTCAAGACAGTCAGCGCCGTCCGCATGCCCACCATCCGCCTCGCCTCGACCGGTCGCCCTCCCGCCCTCGAGTTGTGCCCCGAATGCCACTTCCACGGCTTCATCTCGCACGCGTGGGGGACCGGCCAGGACCAGACCCACACCGTCGTGCGCCAGCTCCAGCTTCTCCTGCCCGGCGTCCGGATCTGGCTCGACGTCGATAACCTCGAGGACGTGGGCAGGCTCGAGGAGTCAGTAGCTGACGCAATGACCTTTCTCGTCTTCCTCAGCGCCGGCTACTTCAAGAGCTTCAACTGTCGCCGCGAGCTGTACGCGGCGCTTGCCTCGAACCGGCCCTTCATCCCCATCTTCGAGGCCGACGCGGCGAAGGGCGGCGCCTCGATCGAGGCGTTGCAGGCTGAGTGCCGCGAGCACTGCGTCGAGGTCGTCCCGCCCGCCTACCCTTCCTACGGCGGGCCAGGCGAGATGATCGCGCGCGTGTTTGAGGAGGCGAAGCCGATCGTGTGGGTGCGGGTGAACGCCTTTCAGCTCGAGTCGCTCAAGGCCATCGCTCTGCGCATGTTGCTGCACTCTCCATTCTACGCGAGCCGCCTGGCCGAGCTTGCTGCAGGGGTGACGGTGCCCGGTGAGGCAGGGCCCGTCGCCTTCAGCGGTCCCGTCACCATCCTTGCGTGCCGCGGCAACAAGGGCGCCTTTGGCGTAGCAGACGAGGTCAAGGCGGCGGCGCGGGAGGGGGCGGCTCTGCTGCATCCGAGATGGTTATGATCCGCGATGTGGATGAAGCGTTCGAGGGAGCCAGCGCGGCCCCTCTCTCCGGACACTACGTCCTCCTGCTCTACCTGAACGATAAGACCTTTCTCGATGCGGGCGGCACCGTCGCTCGCCTCGTGCAAGCGGCGATGGACCGGCGCATTGCCATCGTGCTTGTCCACGAGCAGGACCCTAGCTGCGGTGGCCGCCCGTTCCGGCACTTCATTCAGCAGACGCCGCAGGTCCTGCAGCGGTCGCCGTACAAGCTCTACGACACGGTGGCGGTGCCGCTCTACCCGTCGACAGAGCACCGCCCGGTGAGCCTGCACCTCGTGCTGCGTGGCATGGGAGCGGCACCGTGCAGCGCGGGGATACTGCGGCGGCAGTGGCAGCTCCTTCGCCGCCGCATCGCGGTGGCGCGTCTCCGAGATGCCGCCCACGCGCGCTTTAGATATGGGCTGCAGCACCCGAGAGGACCACGGCAGAACTCACAACAGGGCGGCGTGCAGGAAGGCTCGAGTGCCAGCTCCACCTCCTCGCTGCCGCTGCCAACAGTTGTGGTCGAGTGCGGCCCTCACATCTTTCCGTGAGTACCCATGTGGAGTTTGGTTGCGCTAGTACGAACCCGCTGAGGCGTAGTGCTCTTGCGGATAAAAGTGCCCTCGCTACCTGAGATTTATTTTTTCTCGCGAGTTTTACTTCATTCCTTTGTGGTGAAAGTCTTCCTTTTACGGAAACGAATGCTTCACGGCCGTTTTTCTTTAGGGGCTATCTTCTCAACGGAGCGAAGCGGCGCCTCCCAGCAAAGGAAGAATTTCGGCGAGATGCCCCTGGTATGCCCACCCCCCTGAGTGGCCGCCGTTTTAATTGGCCATTTGGGGGGGCGTCGCCGCCGCCGCGTCGCTTGGTGGCACGGAGAGAGTGCACTCGTCTGTGTAGATCCGGCCGAGCGCAGTGAGTCTGCCGTACCGCTGACTCGTCAGCTCCTTTTCTTTCGGCTGGCGAAACGTCTTGGGCGTCCATCGCGTGGCTCCCGTGATCGGGGTTTTCGGTATCTGTGGGTAGTCCATGTCGTTTGGCTGCTCGAAGGCAACGAGCCCGCCGACGCCGACCATTCCAGAGTGCGGGTAGGTCGCGCGGACCGAGTCCCGATACGTGATCGCAACGTCGTTGCCAGCCGTCTGGTTGTAGCACCAGTCCAGCAGCTCGGGGCCGGTGAGCATGAGCGGCCTGCCCTTGGGAGGGACGAATCGCTGTCGGACGTTGCGGAGGATCGAGTCGAGCATGCAGCGGGGGAGCGGGTGCGACGGCACGCTCGCGAGGATCTTCATCTGCTTCCGTTCGAAGTCGGCCCCCGAAATGTCACGGCCGATGGTCGCGCCCGCGTCACACATGTCGACTACGCTGGCAATCGGCTTGAGCAGCACGAGATCGGTGTCCAGGTAGACGCCGCCTTCGGCGGACAGGGCGCAGAAGCGGAAGAGATCGGCGCGAAACGCGGGGGCGAGCAGGCAGCGGTACGCCTGCCCGGCCTCTCGCCCGCAGTGCTTGGTCACGTACTCGAACGCCGACTCGTCGTCGTGATAGTTCACCACAAAGCCATCGAGGTGGACGGCAGCATTAATGGCCACGTTGGATGGGCGCTCCGCGCTGCCGCCAACTGCATGGTAGATACGGGGCACCCTCGTGGACCTCTCAGAGCAGTTGGGTGGCGACGAGAGCGGCAGGTTCAAGTATTCGGCGCAATTGCTGTCGCCAAAGTCTGGGCGGGTGAACGGCGTCTGCACGAGCGCGCACGGCCCCACTTCCGCGGCCGCTCGTTTGACGGGCGCGGCAACCGCAAAGACGTGGAAGAACATCGGCATGTATCGGCGGATCCGCCTGCCCACGGGAGAAGACGGGCTCGTGCTTGGTCCTTGCGATCGAGTATGTTACGTACCCCGGACTTCGCCGACGTCCCCGCCCTATTTGCACAGCCTTGTTTTCGAGAAGAAAAATACCTGCTTCGGCCCTGGATGTGAGGTTACCGACTGCACTCCAAGTGCTCCAAGTGCTTGGCGCTGCGCGCTGGTCTATGTGTCGCCGTTCTCCGCCCGTTTAGAAAGAAAGTTCTCCGTCGCTCCGCAGTGCAAAGGCTGCTAGGTTTTATTTACAAAATGTCGGGGGCACAGGACGCGGTACAAATCAAACAAAAGGGGTACGCCAAAAGGCACGACTGGCTGCGATCTGTCTGGGGACGCCTATCATCACGCGGGCGCGTTCATCCGGACGACCACCGCTCATTGTCCTGGCTGGGGTGGGCAGCTCAGCTCTACATACAGCTCTACAGCGCTCTACACTCTATCTACATCCTCTACACCCTCCCTCAGCCCTACCTATCTACATACATCCTCTACACCCTCCCTCAGTCCCCTTTCTCCCGGCCGGGGTGGGGCGCGCGCGGGGGCGGCGGGTGTGCGGGATGTCTGTGGGCCCGGTAACATCGACGGCGAGCTAAGAAAAGAAAAACACAAAAAGCAGCTGAAGCACCTCTTCGCTCCTTGTGGCGACCCCGCCGTGCAACCTCTAATGCTCGCTGTGGTCGCCCTCTGTCACTCGACCTTGGCCGCACCGGGGCGCGAGCTCAGTGGCGCGTGCGATGGGTGGATCTGGCCGCCCGAAGACACGCTCTTCTGCAGCTCGACAAACGCATCAAGCGTTTGCCAAGCGGGAGAGGAGTGCGCATGCATCGCCTCGAGGTGCACCTGCAAGGATGGCGAGCCGTTCATCTGTACGCGCGACTGCCAGAGGACTTCCTGCCAGCCATTCCAATAAGTAGCGCTGCCCACCCAAACGGATGTAGCCTCCCCCGATGGAGGATGGAGAGAAACCGGGTATCGTGTGTGATTGTCTGTGTGGACGCTTCTCGAGAGTCCCCAGTCGTGCGCCGCAAGTCGTGTGGCCAGGCCCAGGGCCAGAGAGCTCCTCTCATTTCGGGGCTTGTGGATGTTGTAAGAGCACGACGCGCCAGCGAGCCGATCGACATACCGTACAGACCGAGTCCACTCCCGCCACACGTGTGGCGCTCCCCGCGGCGCGCTTGCTGGGCCGCCTTTCCGTCCCCACACGGCTCGCTCCCGCTGTGTTGCGTCCGTCCGTCGCGCGTCGGTGGGGGCGGGTGGCGAATACGAAATAATGGGGGGCGACGTTAGGAAGAGCGTTTCACAGAGCTGGAGGCTGCAGCTTCTCTGCCGGGTAGAGCCGTAGGACGGGAACATGGACGGGAACGACAACGAGATGATAGTAGGGAGTAGAAGAAAGCAAAGACGAGCCCTGCGCACGCACGGCTCCGCAGGAGAAGCCCCTCCCGCCCGTGCTTGCGCAGCGCAGCCTCCTCCTCCCTCACAGAAAACTGCGGCCGCCAGCGACAGAGGTCAGAGCGTCTCGCTGGCGGACGGCGAGAGGAACACAAAGGGACGTCCGGACGTCCATCCACTGGGATGAGAATACTGGAGATCTGAGGTCGAATCTACCGATTCCACAGCCGCCCACAGGAGCGCCGCCTCAACACGGGGTCTCGGCTCTACCGAGCCATGCTAGCTCCAGCCGCAGCCCCACCCGGCCGCCCGAGGGTGTTCCCGCAGGCAGAGAAGACCAATCCTGGGGGAAGTAACCGTCCCCAACAGGGGCGCGCACGAGCCACGTGACAGAGACCGGTCGGGGCACACACACGCACGAGCAAACCTGAATAATGAGAAAACGTGCGCGACCTCGACGCCGCCGGAGAGTAACACCGCACCCTCTGCAGCAACCCGCACCGCTCCACTGGAGCAATGGGCAGGAGGCTGCCGCAAACCAGCGAGTGGGGCCAGCCTCGATCTAGCAAACCTAGATCACCTTGGCCTCGTTCTTGAGCTTGTCCACGAGCTCGTCGACCGTCTCGACCTGCGGAGCGACGCAGCGGCATAGGGTGTGGGTGGGTGGGTGTATGTGTGTGTGTGGGGTGTGTGGGGGGGGGGGGGGGCCATTGGCGTGGGCCACGGGAGAACACCGGCATGGGAACCAGGGGGGGGGGGGGGGAGGGAGCAGCCGATGATTGAAGGCGCGTGCCTGCGAAGCCGTCGGGCCAACAGAGACGGCGATCACCTCCGTGGCGATCTTCGCCTCCTTGAGCCGCACGGCCTCCTCGACGGCAATCTCGTCGAACGGGTTCATGCTCATCTTCACGTTCGCCGTCTCCACCCCTGACTTGTCCGGCTTTACGCGGATCTTGACGGCGTAGTCGATGACGCGCTTCACGCCGACGAGCACCTTCATGTGCCTCACGTGCGGCGGCGCCACGCCGCGAGCGGAGCGGAGCGCCTGCGGCGGCGCGCGGGGCGGCGACGTGTCGGTGAGGATCAATAGCGGAATGCTCGCCCTGCTGTCAGCGAGGCCAGGGCAACTGCGCTTTGCAGCATTGGAGGGTGGAGGCGGAGGAGAGGCGGCGGCGCTGCTGCAGCGCGGCCGTGGCGGACGGACGGAGGAACGGGCGCAAGCGGGACTTCGACACGGGCGGGTGCGAGAGCTCGCCTTGCTGCCCACCAACATGACCAAGCTTCAGTGATGAGCGCATTTTCTTCTTCGCTCCGAAAATTCTTTTTACGACGGCGCCCACGGAGGTGCAGCTCGTGCGGCAGCTCGGCCAGTCTGTCCGTGGGCGGGGCGTCCTCCTCGGTGCGTGCGGCGCGAGGGGAGCGCGACATGTGAGAGGTGCTGGTCACAGCGGGCGAGCCCGGTTCTTCTGAGCAGCGGCGCGTGAGAAGAAGAAATTCACTTCGCATTCACGTTTTTGGCGAAGGCTAGCTCAAAAAAACACACACACACGTGTGGGGTGGACAGGGGTACAGAGGCGGCCGACACACGTACCATGCTCGAGCTCCGTCTTGAGACTGGAAACTCGAGCGCGCGTCTTGCGATGGGAAACTCTCCGTCTCTGTATGAATGCCCGGAAAACTACTCGGCGCTGCCTCAACGGCCGCTCGTGATCAACCTTGGGCTCGCAAAGAGCGGCACGACCTCACTGCACGAATTCTTTCGCTGCTCGGGCTGGTGCTCCCGGCACGACTGGGGCAGGCTGACCCACGCGATGCTCGCAACCCTCGCATTTGCGCAGAGCCAGAGCACAGTCAATGCCGATGCCATCTTGCGGGCGAGGCTGGAACGTGTTTGTTAGCTTTATCCTCGGGGCTGTTCCATCTCCTCATCTCTTTCCCACCTAGGCGGGGCGGTGCGGGCGTGCGGGCGCGCGCGGGGTGCGGGTTGTGTGTGTGTGGTCACTCCAGAGTCGCTGTTCACGCCGGCCAACGCGGCCGTCGTTTTTTTCGAACGCATGCGAACCTAGGCGACAAGCAGACACCGAGACTCCGAACACGACGATTCAAATCACACCGCACGCACAACCAAATATCAAATGACTGAGGGCAGTGTCAAAGACACACGCTTTACTAGGGTGAGTGCTCGTCTCTGTCCTACACCGCTACACAGAGACGCGACTGAATGGCCTCGCTCCTTCTCCCTCTCGCGCCTCCTCGTCGACGGGGGGCACGTGAGCAGGGCGAGCAAAGTCATAGTTGTTGAGTCTCTTTGACGAGAACCTCGCCGCCTTCGTCCTCGGCTCCGAGAGCATCCGGTAAGCACCTAGCGCGATGCCCAAGTGAAGGCAGAGGGCGAGTGCCACGCACCCCGCCGCATCCAGGCCAAACCGCTCGTGGTCGAGGCAGACGGCGACGAAGAAGATGCCAAAGGTGGCAAACTGCAGGAGCATGTCCTCGGTGGCGGTGCGCCAGCCGGCCAGCAGAAGCCCGCGCGCGGCCGGGCCGTTGGAGAGGAGCTGAGGGAGGCGCGTCAGGTTGGATTCGGCGAGGGACTGGACCACTTGCGCGCCCCGCTCAATGGTCAAGGACGCAAAGAGGGGGATGCCCGCGATTAGCCAGCCGATGCAAGAGATGGCAGTCACGCCCTGCGCCAGCGGCGGCGCGGCAGCCGTGGAGTTGCAAAATAAGGCCAGCAGGCAGCAGCCTCCAATCCACCACACAGACAGGCGCTTGCGGACGAGCTGCCGGGTCGAGATCATTGGCAAGAATTGCTCCTTCATTTGTGTGGCCACCATCCGGTTGAACGCGTCGATCCCGCCAACGCCCTCGTAAATCCCATCGATCGCGGCGAGAATCTCCGCTCGGTCGGTCTCGCTGGAGCAGTCAGCCTTGCTGGCATCGAAGGAACGCAGCTGTTGGCGGAGCGTGCTTCGCTGCAGCTCCATGTCGGCGCCGATCAGGACGCCCGTTGTGCAGGCCAAGAAGGTTGCGCCCCAGTGCAGGCACACTGCGAGCCAGAAAAGGGACGAGTCGTCGACATGGTCGTTGGGGTCGGGGATGCGGAGGAGCTCTGCGAGCCACACTGCCAGACAGGCAAAGTAGACCACCATCACAATAAACCCGACCACAAAGGTTACACAGAAGCGGAGCGGGAGGAATCCCACCGGCCGGCGGGGGTGGAGGGCTCGAAATGTGGCTAGCTCGTACACGCACCTGGGGTGGAAGCTCAAGGGTGAGCGGGAGAGTGGAGCTAGGGTGAGGTGGGTGCGGAGAGAGGGCACCAAAGGCGCGTGAAGTAGGTGTCATCCCAGAGCACGGTGAGCTGGGACGAGAGGGAAAGGAAGCCGCCCAAGTGCCGAATGCCTCGGAGCTTCTTGGCCGGGTCCGTCTGGTGGATGCAGCAGCAGTCCACAAAGTAGGTGCGGTTGCTGAGCGCCAGCCGGAGGGATCCAGCGACCAGGGCGGCGATCAGCCCGGAGCCAAAGATCCACGGGGACAGCACCATCAGCGTGTCGTCTGCCGCCGGCTCGATGGAGGGGAGCATATCAATCAGAAGAGGCGCGTCCTCAGTCTCAATGGCGAGGAGCCCGGCGTCCTCCGGACGGAACGTCCTCCACGCGTCGCCGGGAAGACCCCAGATTCGCTGAATCGCCATCGAGGCGAGGCAGACGGCGATGGTCGCCATCATCGGGACGACCCCGGCCTCCTCGAGCGCCAGCGCGAGCCACTTGGCCGTGCCTGGGCCCGCCCAACTGTGGCTCACAAACGCGTCAAACTCCTCGACCACCTCTGAGCGCGAGTACAGCTCGGCCCGCCGCTCCTCTGGCAGGCTATCTGGATTGTTGTGGAATACCGACCGCCAGCGAAAGAGAGCCTCCGACACGCGGATGCCCCGCCGGATCAGCCGCGGTGGGCGCAGCGTGGACGCGGCGGCGATGTATTGCGAGATGGCGCTGGCCTGTGCGGTGCTGTGGCGGAGGTGGGCGAGCCGGTGCTGCGGCTTGCCCTCATCGTTGGCGCTGCTTGGGGTGCCATCCTCGATGTACACTTCGGGGGTTGTAAGGCCTTCCTCTGCGTTGCTGAGCACAAGGCTATCGGCGTGAGCACTCGTGCTCGGTTCCTCTTGCACCGTGACGAGCGCTCTCTTCCTCGACTCAAACAGGCTCGCCCACGCAGAAGCAGAGCCGGACAGGCGCAGCGAGTCCATCCTATGCAGGGTCCACGCAGAAGCAAGCGCGTTGTCGCGGAAGGAGTTTGGCCCGATTGCTTGGCGCGAACCGGAGGCGTCGAACTCCTTCCACGAATTAAATTCTCGTCCTCAAACCCTCCTCTCCCCCACATCGGCTGTACGAAGAGAGGAGGAGCAGCAGGGACCCGAGGGACCATGTGGAAGACGGACGGCTAGTGCTAGGAGTGCAGTCGGTTTAAATTTGTTTGTCAATCAATGTCAGCCGAGCCGCTCGCCGGACACGCGCTCGCTCGCGCCGACGAGACAAACAAAAGCCGACGAGCTCGAGCGCCAGCTGGCAGAGCACAGCTTGACGATCCAAAAGGCCGCTCGCGTGGACGAGGTGAGAAGCGGCTCGCGGATGTATGTATGTAGCAGGGGTTGGCTGTGCAACGGGCGGAAGCGAGTGCGGCCGCCGATGCCACCCTGGTTGGACAAATCGACGTCCTCGAGCAATCTACCGTCCCCTGTCAAGCGCATCGCCTACCTGGGTCGACTAATGAGTTTCGAAAAAGACAAGCTTCGAGCGGTGCCCTGATGATGAGCGCATTTTCTTCTTCGCGTCCGAAAATTCTTTTTACGACGGCGCCCACGGAGGTGCAGCTCGTGCGGCAGCTCGGCCAGTCTGTCCGTGGGCGGGGCGTCCTCCTCGGTGCGTGCGGCGCGAGGGGAGCGCGACATGTGAGAGGTGCTGGTCACAGCGGGCGAGCCCGGTTCTTCTGAGCAGCGGCGCGTGAGAAGAAGAAATTCACTTCGCATTCACGTTTTTGGCGAAGGCTAGCTCAAAAAAAACACACACACGTGTGGGGTGGACAGGGGTACAGAGGCGGCCGACACACGTACCATGCTCGAGCTCCGTCTTGAGACTGGAAACTCGAGCGCGCGTCTTGCGATGGGAAACTCTCCGTCTCTGTATGAATGCCCGGAAAACTACTCGGCGCTGCCTCAACGGCCGCTCGTGATCAACCTTGGGCTCGCAAAGAGCGGCACGACCTCACTGCACGAATTCTTTCGCTGCTCGGGCTGGTGCTCCCGGCACGACTGGGGCAGGCTGACCCACGCGATGCTCGCAACCCTCGCATTTGCGCAGAGCCAGAGCACAGTCAATGCCGATGCCATCTTGCGGGCGAGGCTGGGTACGCCGGCGGACGTGCTCGCCGAGGTGAACGACGCTTTCCGGTGCGTCTTCCCGCAAGTCGACCACCTCGACCACTTGCTGCGCTTCTTCCCAGAGGCGTGCTTCGTTCAGACGACGCGCCCGGTTGATCACTGGATTAGGAGCCTCCGAGGGTGGCGCCTCCCCAATGGGGTCACCCTGCTGGGGAGTATGATCACCCGTTGCCCCATACGCCCACGCGACGAGTCCGGCTTGCGCACATGGTACCTGCGGCACGAGAGGCGCGTCCGCAAAGCGCTTTCGGGACGCCAGTGCGCATTGGTCATCGACATCGAGAAGGACCCGGGCGTGGAGCTGGCGCGGCATTTTAGCCGAACCAACGAGTCGTGCTGGGGGCACCACAACGCACGACGGACACGTATGGTGCCGCCTTGGGTGAGGCGCCAGCTCCGGTTGCGCTACCGCGGCGCACGCTGGCGCTGAGCTCCGCAGAGGGCGGGAGAGTGATATGCGACGCTTGTTTCTTTCATCCTTGGTTTCTTGCCGTCGTCTCTGGGCAGGGGCCCACCCCGCACACAGCGGGTCCCCAAGCGTGAACTTGTCTCTGATCACCTTCTGTGAACGTGAACGGGGTTGTATGTATGTATGTAGAAAGGTGAAGAACAGCCAGGCTCGGACTGGACACCAGCGCGGTATGGGTGGACGCGAGACAGATGATGACGACACACACGAGCGACACCCGACACACAGACACAACAAGCTCATTGGACATAGCCTGCTATGAAGGTTATCCTTCAACGTGAGGAGAGGGGAACAGCAAGCATATCATTATCAACACGTAAACGCCGAAAGCACGCGTCGCCGTCGGCTCGCAACTTTGGGCCGCTTGCTCAACCCCATCGTCCGAGTCGTGCGCAATCTCGCGTGATGACATCTCGCCCTGATCCCATGCCAGTGGGGCAGGCGCATCATATCGTCGGCGATGGGCCCTCTCGAGCCGACGTTCCGCCGCACCCAGACGTTCCGTCACAATGCCGCCGCATATGCCGCCGCAATGTCGATTGCAATGCAGGCAGCGCAGGAACCGTACTGGTGCGGCATGGAAGAGGCCGGCCCACATGGGCAGACCTCCACTGGGGCCACGTGCAAGACAGTATGCAACGTGACGCCCAGAGAGACAGCTCCCCAACCCGCCGCCGCCAAGGCATTGGGCCTGAGGTGGAGCTGTCCGAGGACGGATGACCGAGTCGTCCAGAGGCAAGCCAGAGGCATGCCAATAGCAAGCCAAAGGTAAGCTGCTGGCGTCCACAGTTGGCGACCTCAGTGTTGACCACAAGGGGCGAGATCACGACGTGGCGTCCCGACACAAGGGTGCCGACCGGGTGATGACCGCATTTTCTTCTTCTTCTCTCTAAACGACGGCGCCTTCTAAAGGTCCGTCGCAGGCTGTGCCTCTTTTGGTACCTGTGTCGAACCTGTGTGCTGTGCGAGAGAATTCTTTTTCTGTCCCACCTGCCGGCCTTTATTCTTTTTGAATCGCCGTCTCGACAACCACCGGGCGAGGGAGATGCACACCCCCAACTGGGAGGTCATCTGCAAGCAGTACCAGGCGCGTGCTGTCTCGCGGAGCCCCCAGCCGCCGCCCGCGGTGTGACCTTGTCACGGAGGAGGGTTTTTGGACAGTCCTCCGTGGTGACTTGGGGCGATTGGAGCCGCGAATGGAGAGCTCGCACCGGAGTGACAAGGCGCATGTAACGACCCCCGGGGGTCCCGATAATCGAATTGAGGAGGACGGGCGGTCCCATTGTGTGTAGCGATCTCTCTGAACGCCACACGAGAGTCGTGTGAGGGCCCGGTACGGGCCCTGTCGTTCAGTCTCGGGCCGCCGGCGGTCTCCTGACTTCAGTCCGTGAGTGCGACAGAGTGTCGTATTCACCCCAGCCCCCCCCCTTTGAGCAAACGTAAGCGTAAGACCCGTCGCGTGAGCGACAACACTTCTTGGCAACACCGGGCTTGGACGCCACCGCGTCCACGCCCACCCTCCCCTTCGAGTGCATAGCCCGGCCGCAAGGCCGACGCAGCATCGATGGGCAAGCAGCAAGACCGGAGCTCCACCCCGCCGGCCGATGGGCCACCGCCCCTCGGCGGGCATAACGGAGTGGAGCCCAATGCACCCTGGAGCACGCAGGCAACGCACACTACCGCGGGCATGCCTTCACCCTCCGGGAGGGGCGCGGACCCCGGCACGGCGGCCCCCACCTCGCTCACCGCGAGGTCGCGCCGCCGTTGGCGGTGGCTGGCCCCTCTGAGCAGGAGCAGCCTCGGCTGCAGAGTCGGCCGCCCTCTCGAGGGGCCAGACGTCCCCCCTCTCGACGAGTCGCGACGTACGGCTCTAGTCGAGTAACACCACATATCTCGGGACAAATAGCACAGGGGTCCTCAATCCCTGCCCCCACAATCGAAGGTAGTGGGGCTGCACGTCGGTTGCAGGCAGTCCTGCTGCGGATGCGGGTTGCGCGCGGCGGGCTCAAGACCGCGGCGGGGGTAGTTGCCGTAAGTACTCGAAGGTGCGCTGGCCCGCTGGCAGGCGTGCTCGGCCGAGCCAAGATAGGGGCCGCTCGAGTTGACGCGTCCATGCCCCCTGAGTCCGGATGCGAGGTGGCCGACGACTTTAGCTCCTCGAACGGCAGCGGGGCGTGCTCGCCGTCGTACACACGGCGAGGACCCAGCAATGAGCTTGACACCATCCCGCGCCGTGCCCACCCGCCCGTCGCACCCCTGAGAAAGATGCGTCGGCGTCTCTCTTCTCCCTCGGCCATGGCGCTCTCGGGCCTCATGTCTCGCTCCTCGGCTCGCTCGGCGCGCTTCGCCTCGAGTCTCGTTCGCGCCTCACCGCCGCTCCGCCCGGCGACCGTCGTCGCTGCCATGATGCCGCGTCGCAGCCTGTCTTCGCTGACGTCAGAAGATGTGGAGCGTCTGGGAGCGAAGGGCCTCAACGACCCGAAGCTTAAGGAGCTCTTCGAGGGGATGTGCGTGCCGGGCGAGACCAGCATCCCGACCGATGCGCTCGCCAAGCGCTTGGCCGGCTCGGACGGGAGCAGCTTCTACACGAATGCCGGAGCGCTCGTAGAGCTCCTCATGACCTGGACGGCCAAGAAAATGGACACCAACAGCGATGGCGTGGTGTCCTTCGACGAGTTCAAGTCGGCCGTCCGGCAGACCGAGGCCGACCTCCTCGAGACGTCCTTCTTCAGCACCAAGGCGCTCGAGATGCTCGGCATCGACTCATTTGACGAGGATGCGCTGCGCGCCGCCTTCGATGCATCCGACTCGGACCGGAGTGGTGGCCTCGACCCCTCCGAGGTGCGCGCTCTGCTGCTCAAGGTGAGCCCACAGCTGGCCGACTCGCCGGCGCTCGAGACGATGCTGACGCGGGTGATGGAGCGCCTGGACACGGACCCGTCGGACGGCGTCATCACGTTCAACGAGTTCAAGGCCACCTTCGCGCTCTATCAACACGACCTCGGCTGGTGGAAGGACGGCGCTGTGCTCGGCGTGTGGAAGCCATTCTGACGCCGAGAGCGTCGCGCGCATCGCAACTCGCATGACAAAAATATACGTGTGAAGACGATTTGGCTTGGAGGCTATAGGTGTAGCTTGCTCTCTCTCGGGTGGACTTCCTTACAGCTACCGTATTACAATCACAATGTCTCGTCTTTCCTTTTGGACTTTGATTACTGTACAGTTTTACAACGTTTTTTATGTCGTTACGTGAATGTCGTAGACGTTACAAAAACCGAAAAAGACAAACTGACAATGCACCGCACAGATTGCAGGATCACAGCCCCAAGGCGCAAGGGCGCCGGCCGCCGCGTCAGCGAGGTTGAAATACTCCGCCCTCCAGAACTGACGAAACCATCCTCTTCACTCGTTGTCGTTCCTGAGTCACTGGCCCGCTTTGCTGGCTTCGACCCCGCCGGCCGCTGAGTGCTGCATCAGCGCCGAATTTGGGCCACGGCGCTGTGGCGCTGAGTGGTGCATCGCCTCGGAAGGCCGAGACCCCGCCGTACGTCCCACCCGAGCGGTATTCCCAGGTAGAGGCTGGTGATGGCGAGGGTCTCGCCGAGTCGACGGCGCAGGTGCCTCAATCCTGGCCTCCGGCGGGACGCCTCGCAGGCCGTGGATCCCTGGCGTGATGGGGGCCTCAGAGCTCAATGCGCAAACCGAGATGCGGTGAGCGAGCGTCCTAGCGTGAGCGCGCGCGGCGCGAAGCCGCGGCGCTGGCGGCAGGGTCGGTGACGGTGGATAGCGTGTTGGGCGAAAAAAGGGCGGAGTCGCGACGCTCCGCCGCTGCCACGTCCGGCCGGAGCCCGTAGCGCCCTGCACGGCGGGGCCTCGTGACCTACATCGATGTAGATAAAGAAACCACACTGTGCACGTGCAGTGCACACACCACGAGATATGGCTGGATGAGCCTTCGGCCAGACGGGCTCGGCCTTTGTTTCAGACTGTCGCCGATGCCCTCGCTCACCGCGAGGTCGCGCCGCCGTTGGCGGTGGCTGGCCCCTCTGAGCAGGAGCAGCCTCGGCTGCAGAGTCGGCCGCCTCCAACCTCGCTCGCCTCGGCGGCGAACCGAGGCGTGGCGGCTACAAGTTCGCCTAGGGCATGGCTCAAACAGCGGCTGTTCTAGCGCATGTACCGCAATCACCCGCTGTGGGCGAGAGGCTCGGCGACTCAGGCGCCACGCACGACGCGGCGGAGAGCGAGGCGAGCTCCATCGCTAGGAGGGTCTCAGGAGCGAGGTTCGAGGTCCTCGAGGAGGACGACTTCTGGTCTGGATTCTGGTCGGACTGCGACCTGGTCATTTCCTTCAAGAAGCTCATGAAGGAGCAGTTCGATGTTAAAGGATGGCGGCCCACGCAGCCTGGATACAGCGCTCTTGTCTGCTTGAGCAAAGAGCGAGAGCTTCTCGCGGCGTGCTGGTTCATCATTGACGACGAAGAGAAGTGCCTCTACTGCCGGTAACCGGCATACCTACGCTCAGACACATTCACACTCTGCTGTTGTTGTCTGCCGCATCCTCATTCATGAAGACTGCGGAGACAATGGGGGAGTGTTGGAGAGTGTGAACTCAAACCTACTTCCTGACCGTAGCCTGACCGTCCTTGTGGAACCGTCTCATGTTTGGGCGGAGCACATCGTCATCGACTTGTATCCGACTTGGTGGCTGTGGTGATGTAGCGATGGTGTGGGTCTGGGGTCATGTGAGGTGTCTATGGTAACTATGGACGCCCTCCTCAGAGGCTAGCGGCCAGCCGCTAGCCCTATCTCGCACTCACAGGCAGTGACAATTCAATGGGTGAGTGTTTGCGAGCAGAGGCGCGTGGGCTGAATCTAGATCGCACGCCATGGCATATGACTTGTGTAGGCGTGCGACCGCAGCGCGCCCGCCGTAAGGTCGACGGGGCACGCGTGTCAGCGAGAGAGTTGCGGGTAGAGCCATGCCCGACTTTTTCGAGGACGAGCCCCGCGCCACGGTTGCCAGCCGTGCCTCCGCGTGCCGGTGGCGCCTTTTTTAGGCCCCCAAAAGAAAAAGAAAATCCATAGTCATTCTCTCCGGCTCGCTCAAGCATGGCATCGACACCGGCACCGCCAGCACCGGCACCGGCACCGAGGGCGAGCCCGGCCCGCTCAAGGACGGCATTGACGCGACCGGCGCCATCAAGATCGACCCGGCGCTCAAGCCGGTCACCAAGGTCGTCACGGCCCTCAAGCCGGCGGCGGCCGGCGGCGCGCCGGTGCCGCCGATCAAGGAATTTCCGGAGGAGGAGCCCGCCCCGGGGGCGAGCGCCTGGCATTCTGCGCGCCGGCGTCTGCCGGCCCACTCTGTGACCCCATCCCGCGTTCGACGCGTAGGGCGACGCCGACTGGAACGTTTCGACCAAGGAGTTTCCAGAGGAGGAGCCCGCCCCGGCGGTGAGCACCTCCCAGCACCCTTCTGTGCACACGCGGGTATTGTGGGGACACGCGAGTCCTACAGGCGGGCACTTGCATTGACCCTGTGACCTCTCGTCTGCCGCACGTCACGCGGGCGCAGGGCATCGACGAGTGGAAGACCCCCTCCCCGCTCCGCAAGATCGAGCGCAAGGGCGAGTCCAACCTGGTCGACGGCATCGCCGACTGGACGACCCCGTCGAACCCGCGCCGCAACAACGGGCGCAACAAGGGCGAGGTCAAGTCCAAGAAGGTCTCCAACAAGTACGATCTGCTCGACGACGTCGAGACGAACGTCGCGGCGGAGATCGACGAGGTCGACGAGAAGAAGGGGAGGGAGAAGGGCGCGAAGTCGGGCAAGGAGTCCTCGGAGGGTCCGCTTGCGCACCAGCCCCGTACGCCGCCGGTTCCGCGGCCGCGGTCCGACCCTTTCATAAAAAATAAAATATTCTTACCTTCAAGCCCCCCTCCGAGACTAGGGACAGAACCACACCAGTATAGACCAGAGGGACTGCGCCTCGCCCCCACTTGCCCTGACTGCACAGGATAGCGTGCCCCGAAGACGGCGACACATAGCGGGGGACACTGCGCAAGGAGGGGGTGCGAAGCCAAGGTTGGGGTTCTGGGTGGTGGGACCAATGAGGGGGGGAGGGCGGGGTCCTGTGGGGGTGAAATGTTGCGCGGCGAATTCGAGCCTACCCCCTCGCCGCGCCGATCCTCACGCGGAGGGTAAAACCCTGTGGGACAAAACCCCTCCGCGGTCGGCTGTCTTCAGAGTGGACCCCCCCCTCCCCAGCCTCCCCTGTTCGTTTTTCGCACCCCCCCCCCCGCTCCCCATCGGTGACTCGCGAAGGACACGGACACTCGGGGTGGGGGGGGAGGGGTCCCCCAGAGAGGGGGCTTTGGGGCCTTGTTGAGTCAATCTCCCCCCCAGAGGGGCCTCGTTGGGTCGATCTCTGGCCGATCTCGTGTCAATCTCGTGTCGATCTCGGGTCGATCTCGGGTCGATCTCGGGTCGATCTCGGGTCGATCTCGGGTCAATCTCGGGTCGATCTCGGGTCGATCTCGGTTCGATCCCGGGTCCATCTCGGGTCGATCTCGGGTCACGTCGTGCGGCGTAATGAGGCGTAATGAGGTGAGATGAGGCGAGATGAGGCGAGATGAGGCGAGATGAGGCGAGATGAGGCGAGATGAGGCGAGATGAGGCGAGGCGAGGCGAGATTAGACGAGATGGGGCGAGATTAGGCGAGATGGAGCGGGATATCGCGAGGTGCAGCCAGCTCCTGCCTGGATGGAGTCAGGATAATGCCTGGGAAGATTCTGATTGGTGCCTGAAGGGGGCTAGGTATGCCTGGAAGGAGCCAGGTTGATGCCTTGAGGCCTTGAGGGAGTCGGCTTGAGGCCTTGAGGAATCCATATTTGGATGCCTCATGGCCTCAAGCCGACTATCTCTGTTCTTCTGGTTCCTCTCGGCGACGCCCAATGCGTGCGCCGGCGTGGGGAGTGTGCGTGCGCGCGCGTGTGTGAGATGAGGATTGTGGCAGGCTGGCTGCTGCTGATGTGGGCAAGTGTGCTCTGTGTGCGGCGCTGCGCTGGCGTGCGATGCGCGCGTGCTGTGCGCGTGTGCGTGTTGGAATCGCGCGTGCGTCTGCGTGTGCTGCGCGCGCGCCGGCGTGTGCTGTGCGCTGTGCTCTGTTGTGCGCCTGTTTGTGCAGCTGGGAGGCGCAGCTTTGGCTGGCAGGGCTGCGCGGTGGGCTGCGGCGTGCTGCGGGTGGTCGCGCGCCTGCCTGATGGTGTACGGCGGCCGCGCAGCCCGCCCGACCGGGTCGTCGGCGGCCCAGGGCGCGAGCATGCGGTCGGCGCTGCATGTGAGGCTGCTGCGCGGCTGGCGCGTATGTTTCCGTGTGGTGAGGGACGCGCGTATGTGTTCACGCTGCGGGCGCGGGCGGGCGCGGGGGGCGGCGCGGTCTCACCGCGGTCCGACGTCGGTTGGTCTTCGGCTTGGCGAGGGCGGGCGCGCAAAGAGGCCTTGCCGCCATCGCGTTGCCGCGAAGGAAAAAGAATTTTTTCTCGGACCCTTTCATAGCACGCGCGCCATGGATTCCACGGCGTCTGAAGGAATGGTGGTTGCACAGAGCTCCGTGTTGCACAGAGCTCCGTGCAAGCCTTCCAGCGTGATAGGAACGAGTGTATCGCTTCGACGGATCGACCGTGCTTGTTATCCACATCGATGTGACGCACACAGATTCACAGTGACGAGACGCCATCGCTCCCGATCGCGTTGTCGCTCAGGTCCAGCCGCGTGAGGCTAGGGGCACGTCCAACGGCGTGTCAGGGTCATGTGTCAGGGTCAGGTGTGTCATGGTCAGGGACGTGTCATGGGACGTGTCCGCCATGGCTATGCAGGTGTGCCGAAGGCGCCTGGCGTTCGCACCCACCGCCACCCCGATTGCCGCGCCACCGTCCGGTCCGAGCTCGTTGCGCCGCAAGTCGAGTTGCGCCGAAGGCCGGTGTTGCGCCGGAGGGCGGCGGCAAAGGCGGCGCCACCCACGGCGCCGAGCTCGTTTTGCGCCAGGTTGAGCGGGAGGTGAGCGACGAGTTCACCTGTGGACGCGTCACGGACATGTGTGCAGGCCATGCACGTGTCACGGACATGCCGAGGCACGTGAGCGGCGACTTGACCTCCAGTGCCTTGGCGAACGCCGTCGCACGCTCCAGGCCGTACCCAATGCGGTTGGACCTCATGCCGGTGGCGAGGGAGGTGTTGACAGCGAGCGCCCTGCCAAAGGCGACACCGCCCTCGACCCCCAAGTCGTTTTGCTCGACGTCCAGGCTGAGCAAGTGGCGGTTGGTCTCGAGGGCCTCGCCGAGCGCCCTGCCGCCGCCCGGGCCGAGGCCTAGGGACGACCAAACCGGCAACCTCACAACACGCGCGGGGCATAGGTGCGCGCCGCGGCGACCGCGCTACCACACCGCACCAGCGTCAGCTGCGTGAGCGAGGTGTTGCCGCGCAGCCCGCGGGCGAGCGAGGCGCCGCCCTCCGGTGCGATGTCGTTCAAGCTCAAATTTAGGCGGGTGAGCGTCTGGTTCCGGCCAATCGCGTCGCCCAGTGACATGCCGCCCTGCACGCCGATCTCATTCCTCTCAATCTCGAGCCGCCGCAGTGACGTATTCGACGCAATCGCCGCCGCGAGGTTGCGCGCTCTGGGCCGATGCCTACGTGTTTGTCGAAGCAAGGTGACTTGCGGTCGAGCGCGGAGATGGTCACGAGTGCTAACGAGCCGAGGCGCTGCATGTCGACTGTGGTTGCGCGGCAGTGCGGTGCCGAAAGAGCCTCGATCAATGCGCCAAAGGCGGAGCCCTCCGTGATCTCGCTGGTTAGGTGTACGTGCTCAGAACCAGAGCGGGCATTTCCAGAAAAAAACGACTGCGGCCGGCTAGGGGTCGGAAACCCGGAGCGCAGAGCCAACCCTCGGAGACCCGTGTTTACGGCCCTATCCCTGCGAATGCGCAACCCCCCTAGCTAGGGGTCAGGGCTCTCTAGCCCGTAGCCCGATGCCAATCATCCGGCCCGCTGGGTGCGCTTCTTAGCTCCCCGGCCCTGGATGTGCGGTTGATGACTGCACTCCAAGTGCTCCAAGTGCCGGATCACCCCAGCTCTGCGTTCTCGCACATGGAGTGCGAGGTATCTCGACTGTTGCCATCCCAAACGGTCCTCCCCTTTCTCCTGCCCGGGGCGCGCGCGCGGGGCGGCGGGAAGAGTGCGGGGTGCCTGTGGGTGGGCCCGAGCGAGAGAGAGCGATGAGTGTCATGTGTGTGACCGCCTTCCTTCTGTCTCGCGCCTTGTGGGGGAGCGGAAAGGAGGAACTCTTCCCAAGCAAGAGCGCACAGCGCCGCCACCAACCAACCACCACTCTACACAGACGTGCTGCATGCAAGCAGCGCCGGGCGATGACGGCTTACGCCCCGACCCAGCCCGCTTGCGCTTCCTCGGCACACCCCGGCAGCCAATGAATGTGTGACGGCTCTCGAGCCCTAAGCAATGCATGCATGAACACCATGGAGAGGGAGAAAAGTTTTGTCTACCACTGTCGCTTGAATAATTTAGTATTTACTTGAACATGTTGTATATTCTCAACATACAACAACTCACAGGTTCGACACACAGATCACAGTACCAAAAGAGGCACAGCTTGAAAATATAATTGTACAATTTTCATGCACGCAACGTCCACAGCTTCGTGTGGCGTGGGGGGGGGGGGGGTGGGGTTCTAGGGAGGAGATGCCGGGCGCGTTTCACTCGGCGGCGGCAACGGGTTTGGCGATGGCGGCAGCAACGGCGACGGCGGCGGGCTCTGCGGCAGCGACGGAGGCGGCGGCGAGGGCGGGCAGATGGGCACGACGTCACTGCATGACTCGGGGCACGCGGCGATCAGACGGGCGATAAATGCAGGCTCATGAAGGAGGCCAAAGCCCTGGCGGCACGGGTAGTTGTTCCAGTTTCTGCACGTGAACCCGGCCTCGGAGTAAGTCGGGTCGTCGTGGCAGCCGACCGGTGGGAAGGGCGGAAACGGCAGCGGCCCGGGCGCCGATGGCGGTGGCGAGGGCGACGCCGAGGGCGGCGGTGGCGGCGGCTCGGCCGGGTGTGGCGACTCTGGAGGTGGCGGCGATGGCGCTACCGAAGGAGGCGGCGACGGCTCTGCGGAGGGAGGTGGCGGCGACGGCGAATCCTCGGGAACCGAGCCGAAGGCCGAGACGTACCCGGGTGCGACCAGCGCAAGCACGGTCAACGAACGTGGGGTGACGGTGGCGAAGCAACGACGAATGGCGCCGCTTATCTACAGTACCAGGTACAACGAAAAATACGCGCGGGCCGCTGCGTGTGCGCCACCGCACGCACACCGTCGACCCCGCCGGGTCCCGCTCTCTAGCACCCCAAAGCCCAATCAATATTGTGCAATAATTGAATAGATAGAAGATACCGTATACATTGCTGAAGGTAGTAGGTACGGCTAGCTCTAGTAACTCTGAAACTGTACGCACTGGACGCGGGTCCGACTGAGAGGTGTGTACATACGTCATGCCGTGAGCCCGTATAACTGAATACATGGGAATTGCAATTGGGTGCACCGCGGGGGCGGAGTCCGGCGGAGAGGCGGGGCGCGAGGCGCGAGGGAACTCCGGCAGTCCCCTCTCAACAAAGGGCGCAGTCCTCGCCTCGGAGTCTCACTTCTCCTCTTGCAGCTCCACGATGAATCCTGTGGCGAGCGGCACGTACAGGCTGCGGCGGGTCTGCGAGCTGTCGCCCGAGTGGACGTAGTATGGCGCGCGCGCCGCGTCGAGCCGTGCGCGAAAGGGCTCGAGACTGCTCACGCGCAGCCCGAGCCCGTTGCCGAAAAACGTCGAGAGCGCGGGGTCCGCGAGGGCGACCTGCCCCACGTCCTCGCCCGCGTGCTTTGCGTGCCCCGCCACCAGGCGGCGCTGCACGTCGCGCACGCTCGCCGTCGAGCCGCCGCTCGGCTGGTCCGTCTTTGAGAACTGGTGCACAAAGTGAAGGTCGAAGTCGGCGAGGCGCTGCCACTTGAGCATCGCGCACTCGCCGTTGGAGAACCGGTGCGAGCGCGGCTGCAGGAAGGCGAGCACGTCGCCGAGCCCCTCACCGCCGATGAAGCGCTGCAAGTGCTGCAGCGCCGCCTCCGGCGTGTCGGTCGGCAGGGCGAGGTGCTTGGCCTGCAGGTGCGGGATCGGCGGCAGCGGCGCGTCCGGCCTCACTGCGGAGCGCCACGCGCCCGGCGGTGGGGTCGGGAGGCGCGAGGTTGGGGTCGTGGCTCGGCAAAAGTTAAAGGGCTCGGTCGCGGCGAGACTCATGTTGAGTCCCTGCAGCTGGAAGGTGATGCCCCTGGGTATCTCCACGTACGCAGACGTGCCGCGCGTCACGAAGGGCACGCCGTCGCGCAGCAGCCTGACCAGCACCGCGTCGAGGTTCTCCGTCCACAGCGCCAGGTGCCAGTCCTGCCACCAGTCCCACGTCTCCTGCACGCCGAAGCGGTGCACCTTTGACATCTCGTCGGCGAGCCGCTCGGCGGTGAGGAGGCTGCCCTCCGAGGCGGGCGGCTCGTCGCTCCTGACGAAGTAGACGTCGTGCGGCCCTTCGTTCAGGTGACGCGTGTCGGCCCGCAGGGCCTGCGTGGCCTGACTCGTGCTGCCGGGCCGGAAGCGGACTGCCGCCACAAGCCTGCCGTGCGCGGCCGCGCGAGTCTGAAACGTGCGCGGGTCCTCGAGCAGGGTTGCGCCCAGGTAGTCGACTAGGAAGGCCGCCGCGAGCCGGGGCGTCGGGGTGACGAAGCTGGAAAAGGCGTACCGGGCGGCGGGGAGCGGAAGCGACGACGACTCTGCGCCCCGCTGCCGCGTCTGGCTGCCGGGGCGCTTGCTGCCTCGCCCCCTCGAGGGCGGATTGGCGGGTGCGGGCTGCAGCACGCGGCAGACGACGGGAAACGAGGCTGGGACGGTGTGCGTCACCGGCACGGTGTGCAGCTCGCACCTGGTGTAGGCGCCGCCTCGCGCCCCGCCTCGCGGGAAGGTGCTGTGCTCATAGGCGACGCACCCTCCGTCCACGACACAGCGAGCCTCGCACTGGGACTGGGAGAGCTCCCAGATCTCGCTGTAGACGCCGTCGCCCTCTCGAGTGCGGCACATGCCCGATGGCGAGGCAAAGATCCGGCGCGTCAAGGCCAGAGGCGCTGGCGAGGGCAGCGTTGGCGGCGCACGTGGCGGCGGCGTGGACGGCGGCGGTGACGCTTGTCGGGGCGCAAGCGGCGGCGGCAGCGGCGAGTGTGGCGGCGGTGGTGAGTTCTTCCAGCGAACAAGAGAGCCGAGAGACGAGTAACTCGCCGGCGACCACCGCCTGAGGTATTCTGACCACGTTTGTGCCGGCGGCAGTGGCGAAAACGGCGGCGGCGGCGGCGGCGCGGCGGGCGCGAGCATCACCATTGCTGCGAGGGCGCGAGCATCAGCTGCGAGGGCGCGAGCACTTGCCGCGGCAGGTAAAGTGTCCTCCATTCGAAAGGCGTTTCGCTGACGAAAAGAAAAAAACCCGTGGGCATGGGCTCGCCGCCCTGGTGTGGGTGTAGCACTGTAGCAACTCGACAACTCGAGAGAGGGTGACCTTCACCTTGCGTGAGTTTAGAGAATACAATTGGCTTAAAAAACAAACAAAGAGAATACTCACTTCTCTCTCTTCACCTTGCGTGTTTTGAGAGAGAGAGAGATTTTTGGAAACGACACCTGGACAAAAACAAAAAACAAAACAATATCTCTCTCACATGGATGGCAGCACACTCCGAAGTTAAAAAATAAAAACAAATCTGCGCCCGCGACGTTGGGGCACTTCGGGGGCGGATGCGTCGCGGAGAACAGCGAGCGAACTGGGGTGGCCGATGGTGTAAGGGACGGCTGCTGCACAAAGTGATCAGTTCTAATGAATGTACCGGGGCCCGACGGATAGATGAATCCGGGGCACCCTCCGCTCGAATCCCTGGCTAGGGGTTCGAGGTGGCCCCCACGGCATCAAGATTTGTGTTTGTTCGGCATCAATCAAAGGGACTGCGGCAGAAGACGCCCAATCTTGCACAAGTGCAAGAACCATACTTCTGAAGTTGGGCCCTCAGTCTCTCGCCGATTCTCGCTGCAACCCATGCCACCTCGCGGTCGTCCCATGTGTTCGTAAAATTCTTCTTTCGAAAAAGAAAAAAGAAATTCCGAAGGGTGCGCCAGCACGCCGGCGCCAGACTGCAAAGCATCATGGAGTGGCTCAAATCGGTTCACTTTTATCGCAAGGTGCCAGCGGATCTTACGGAGGCGACCCTCGCGGGAGGCACCATCTCTCTCCTCTCGTCGCTCGCCATGGCCTACCTCTTTGTCTCCAACTTTCGCAGCTTTTTGCAGATCGAGACAGTCACGAGCGTGCGGCTCGATGAGTCACAGGAGAAGAAGATCCAGATCAACTTCAACGTGACGCTGCACCACCTGCCCTGTCGCTTCGCCTCGGTAGACATCGCCGACGTGATGGGCACACACCTGCAGAACGTATCCGCAAACATCGTCAAGACCCGGTGCGCGGCAGCGCCATCATGATCCCCACCACCACCTCCCCTTGGCCCGTTGCCCCACCCCGGGGCTCGTGGGTCCCCAAGCCTTTCTTTTGCCTTTCCTTGGCCTTTCTTTCCCCTTTCAAAAGTTTCCCCCCCCCGGCCCCCCCCGCCCACCCCCTCACCCACCACCCTCATTCACCGGGGCAGGCTTGACGCGGACGGCGGCGTTCTGGGCCGA